CTGTTAATAAATTACACTTGCTTTTTAATAGCAAATTACTAGCAAACTACCATGTGAAATGTTTGATCAAATCTGCTTAAGTTCGAACCCAACGAAAAATCATCAAAAAAAGAATTTTTTGCGTCATAAAAAATTTTGTTCTAAATTTGGCAATTGCCATATACTTCATTAGAACGCACAGAAATCATCTTTATAAACTCGATCCAAATTTGTATGTGACTTTTAATTAATTATTTGAACTTGGATTTTGACTAGTAAATAGCAAGTAGCAAATTTCTGCTAGGATTTGATGTCTAGTGTCTAGTCGGGTCTGCCACTTCTCAAACTGACTACTCCACTGACCTTAAAAATGTTTTGAAGTTTATCTAACCACAAAAGAACGTGAGAAGCTCTTTGCAAAGTTTAAAATTAGAAGATTCCAGTTCAAAAATTGATAAGCATTCCCTTTTACAATTTTTTATACTAAACAAAAAGTAAAAAAAAAAGAATTATGAAGAACCCAAAAGACATATTCATTAAGCAACTAGTTAAAAATCCTTCCATTTACTGAATGAAAAATTCTAGTCTAATACACACATAATTTTATTAAGAAAAAAAAATTAAAACTCTTAAAAAACAATGAATTTTTTGATAAGAATTAAAAAGAAATATATCTTATAAAAATAGCAATTATTATGTGAAGACAAGAAAAATGTGAAAAGATTATAGAAATAATTTTTTTGATCCTACCAAATAATTAAGTTTGTCTGTCTTTTTGATGACAAAAAAGTGAAAAGAGAAATTGTTTTAAAAAAAATTTATTTTAAAAAGAAAAAAAAATCGCAGTAAACATGACAATGAGAAAAACATTGATTGTAAGGTCATTTTCCAAAGAAAAAAAAAAGAATATATTCAAAAAAAAACAATAACAGTATGGTGATTGAAGAATTAACCAACGCACAACATAATGACACAATCTCCTTTGACTTCACGAAGAAGAAGGCTAACATAAAGAAATATTTAAAAAGAAAACTGTTCAACTTGACAAACTTATCTAAACAATTATTATATGATAGGTACATGTATGTTTTTATGGGTATGAAAAAATAATAATAATATTTTATTAGAAAATTTTTTACATTATTTTTAATTAAATCAAATTTACTCAATTTTTCCTAAAAGCAATAATAAGTTTTTCTCTTAATTTTTAATTATATATATTTTCTTTTAATGAATGGAGTATTAAAAATAGGTATATTAATAAAAAGTATTATCAGTTAAGAATTAATCGTAAACAAACAAACAAAAAAAATTATTTAAAATTCGTCTTTAATTTTGATTCCTCATTTTTATGAATTTTTATTGACTTTTTTGTAGCATCTGTTTTCGTTTATCAATCTGCTTTAGTCTTCCGACCATTTTAAAACCATAAATCCAAGGGATAACAACTCTTTGAATTTAAGTTTAACTCATTGCTAAGGTTTGACTCTCTTTAGACTTCTGAATCACTAAACCTTAACAGTGAGTCAAACTAATTTTAGTTTTAGTCATAATCAGAGAATTTTCATCCCTTGCTACAAATTAGATATCCTTTTTGAATACGAAAAGACTCACACTCTTTCAAGATATTGTTTTTGCTTTTCAAATTATTAATTAACATTCAGCGATATTGTCTCTCAACTATTATTTAATTCCACATGTTTTCATGATTTCTTTTGTGTCATACTGATCTGAAGTTGTCGATCTTGTTGATTTTTGTACTGTATATAATTAAAAAACAATTTCTTCTGTTTCACCAAAAAAATATACAAAATTCAATCAGATGTGATTCACAGTAAATTGTATTATTTGTATTATTAGGTAAGTAATTTCTTTCGTTTTATAATTAAAAATTTGAACAAAACAAATCCATTTTTAACCTCTTTTCTACTTTATTGCTTGGTTATGATTATATTATCGACTATTTATTCATAAGTTTCTTATTTTCAGGATGATTTTTAAAACAATACCTTACATAAATTATTTCACATCAATTTGTTATTTTTAAGTTACATCATGTGTTTGGGAACCGAATATCCTTCATCTTCAATATTATTACCTTTTTAATAATTATTTCTGCATTTGTTTAACAATTGAGACTATCATTTTTTTAATATAAACAATAATAAATACCGTAGAGATAAAAGAATACGAAATTTACATGGGTGATAAATAAATATAAGACTGAAAAACAATTATTGACCTACTCTAATTTTTACAATCTCGAAAGCAATTTTGTAAGACATTTGAAAAAAAATTTTAAACTCAATGGAATCTCAATCAATAGTTAAATAAAATGTTAAAAATAATACTGTCTTTTACTCAAATTACTATTTACTAGCAAATTACCATGTAAAATGTTTGATCAAATCTGCTTAAGTTCGAATTTTACGAAAAATCATCAAAAAAATTTTTTTTGCGTCATAAAAAATTTTGTTCTAAATTTGGCATTTTTTTTTTTTGATTTGTTTGATTTATTTGTTTAAAATTTTGCAATTGAGATGCAAAATAGAAATTCTTATGACTAGCTATGTACATATATCACATTACATTTTATTAATTTCACAATAAGATTCGTAAAAATGTTCCTTAATTCTAGTTTTAAATATGTTTAATGAGAACTTATTCTTAACCAATGGAGGTAGAGAATTAAATAAATTAAATGCTCTAACGTAAAAATCCTGATTGCTTAGGTGCGTTTGATAGTTGGGAGTTACAAAATTTTCTCTGGTACGCGTTCGATATCTATGAATATCATTGACTTGTCTAATCTGAATGTTATTCTTAACCATATTCGATGATATTTTAAAAGCATGCAAGCAAAGATTGACGTTACAGAGTGTCGACACTGGAAGGATATTTATACTATACAATTCTTTTTTGCTACAGAACCAGTCCTTATTAAAGAGGATCCTTAGTGCTTTTCTTTGTGTAACTTCGATCATGTTCATCGCGTATGCAGGTGCTGCTGACCATATGATATTCATATAAATAAGTCTTGATTGAATAAAAGCAAAGTAGAGCATTAGTGCTGTTTTTTGTGAGATTGATTTTCTTACTCTTTTGACTGCATATGCAAAAGGTATGACCTTTTTTTGGATTTCTTCAATATGCTTATTAAAACTTAGTGACTCATCTAGAATTAAACCTAATAATCTGCAACTATCGACACGTTCCAGAGTAATTCCTCTATATTTTAAATTTAATGCAGCTTCTGTAAAGTTCTCGTGCTGTTTCTTATTGTGAAAGCAGAGGTATTTCGTTTTTGAAATATTGGGAGTTAAAATATGAAGATCCAACCAATCACTAATTTTCTTTAAATCTTTTTCAATATTGAATTTTAATTCCGCAGCGTTGCTTCCTGTATTAATTAAACTTATATCATCACAATATAAAATAAGTGTCCCTGACAGATCTAAACTGAAAATCCTATTAATGTACAAATCGAAAAACTCTCCTGATAAAATGCCGCCTTGTGGTGTTCCTTCTTTTATAAATTTAAAGCTACTGAGGATACTCCCGATTTTTACTGACTGTTTTCTGTTCTCTAGATATGATTTTATGACATTTAGAAATGGGTTACTTAGCTCGACCGCCTTAATTTTATTAATGAGGATATCGATTTGAATGCAATCAAAGGCTTTAGAAAGATCTATGCATGTTAAAGAAAGCATTTGCCATATACTTCATAAGAACGCGCAGAAATCACCTTTCAATTAATTATTTGAACTTGGATTTTGACTAGTAAATAGCAAGTAGCAAATGGAAAGTTATCCAGTAAATTACTAGGAAATTACTAGTAAATTTCTGCTAGGGAAACTAAGTATTTAGCATGTAGTTATCAATAATTACACTTCAGTCAAATTATTATATCATGTCCTGTGCATCAAAATGCTAAAAACAAAATCTTCCCAAACTTCCAGAAGTCTTATACATATTTGGAACCATTCGGAAGTCTCCTAAGCAGTGTTGCAAATGTAGATGTCTACACTAGATGAAGAATGTAGATTCTTCAATAGTTTTTGTCTGAGACAGAAATTTCTTCATAAAGATCGATTCTATATGAAGATAGAAAATCTAATCTACACAAAGATTATTTCTACATAAAGATTCTGTCTACATAAAGATTCGACAAATCTACATTTTTTCCAGGTCTACATCAGAGAAGAATGTAGAATTGTAGACATCTACATCGAATCTTTATGTAGACAGAATTTTTATGTAGAAATAATCTTTGTGAAGATTAGATTTTCTATCTTCATATAGAATCGATCTTTATGAAGAAATTTCTGTCTCAGAATTTATCTGATCTAGACAAATGGCCAGAATGCAACTCTGCTCCTAAGTGTGTAGACCTTGTAATCGAACGTAATAAGTGAGTGAATCCAAAATTATTGGCTTAATATTTTGATAAATATAAAATTTAAATAATTTTTACTATGAATTTGAAAACTTTTAATGATGATTTTCTTTGATATTTAAAGACTTTAATCAAGATTTTTCCATTTAAAAGATATTAAGGACTATAAAATCATTACTATACAGCACTGCAAATGACAGGATTAAACAACAAAATAATGAAACAAAGGAAATCAATTTTACGCTCACTGGATGTTACTGGATCTCAAAGAAGTTATTATCTTTGAAGTATGAATGATAATTACGCAAACGTGATAAGTATTTAGATAATATTAAGTGTTACGAGGCAGTCAATTGTCTTATTTAAGTGCTTTAATATTGTTTTGTGCTGAAAATGTGCAATTTTTCAATAAAAGAAAAGTTTTCTTCAGTACTTACTGCTTATAATAAAATTTTCTGAAGCATTCAATAGATATGTAGTGGTTTTGATCTTTAAACACTTAAGTAAAGCACTATTTCACACAGAAAATGTAATTTCAATTTGTTTTCTATACAACCGACTTTTGGAATTTGAAATCCTCTCGCACAAATGTCACTGAGATAAAATTTGTCCAAAATGTCAATATAACCTATAAGTTCTAGAAAGTAAACATTGAAATTCAACAAACAAAAAACATACAAAATTTATGTTAATTATATAAAATGTCGTTACTTCGAATCCAGAAACCTAAAACAAGAAAGGGAAAGACCGCATTGCTTGAAAAGGAACCAAAAGTTATCGAGAATATCAAAAATGCTTTGATTCTTGAAGGAAGAAAAACTTCAGGTAAGTTTCAACAAAAATTTCATGTTTTTCTGGATCTTTAAAAAATTATTTCACCTTCCAGCAAATATTAAGGATCTTCTCAAAGACATTGCAACATTCAAGAAGCCAAATTGTAAGGTATTGACCAGAAATAATGACATTACACCATTTGAAGATCAGAATCCACTCGAAATTCTCGCAAATAAAAGCGATTGCCATCTTTTCGCATTTGGATCACAGTGAGTAGCTTAACATGTCATAGATAATATAGTTTCTAATGTAACTTATCACTTCCAGCTCAAAGAAGAGACCAGACAATGTCATTATGGGACGAGTTTATGATAATCAAATTTTAGACATGATCGAGTTTGGCGTTAAGCGGTACAAAAGTCTACAGGAATTTAAGAACGAGAAGGTTAATATTATGTGTAAGCCATGTCTAGTATTTAATGGTGATCAATGGGCGAAATCAGATGAATTAAGACACATCAAGAGTCTTCTTACAGACATGTTTCATGTTGAGGATGTAAGGAACTTGTTATTGCTGCTTATGTCCAATTACTATACTAATAAGCTATTCCATTCCAGGTTGAAACCATTAGACTTCAAGGAATTGAACATGTCATTAGCTTTACACTCTCAGAGGACCTTACAATCATGATTCGTTCCTACAAAATGCTATTAAAGAAGTCTGGACAAAAAATCCCAAGAATTGAGCTAGAAGAAATTGGACCGTCCATGGATCTCTCAATAAGACGAACTAAAATCGCATCTAAGGATCTTTATAAGCTCGCTCACAAGAAACCAGCAGAATTGAGAGTCACAAAGAAGAAGAATGTCACAAGAGATGGTCTTGGTAATGTTAAGGGTCGCGTACATATTGACAGACAAGTCGTTACGAAATTGCAGACTAGAAAGATGAAGGGATTGAAAAAGACACCGGAGGAAAAGAAGGCTGCTAGGAAGCTAAAGAAAGCTGCATCAAAGGAGAACTCTTCTTTTGTTTAAAGTTAATTAAAATGAATTAATTTTTATTGATCTAAGAATAAATTGCGTTTATATTTTGAATCATGAATTAACGGTTTTTTAATATTTGAAATAAGTCTACGAATTTGAGGGTTTCTTGAATCTACAAATTTGATCAAAACAGGCATTTTTCATATCAAGGACCCCTTTTTGCATGTTATTTTTACGCAATTTTCATCAAAAATTTAATTAAATCTACAGAACAACAGGTAAATAACTCATAAAAACAGCAATTATCAAGTGATAACCAGCTAATGTACAACATTAAATTCCATTTCAGTCTCATCACAGCACAAGGAAATGAATTTTCTAAAGCAGGCATTTAATGTTGCAAGAATTTTAACAACAGAAGGTACGTGAGAAGTTTTTAAGCATAATCCGTTGAATAGCACAGCTGCATCTTATAGGATCTACCTATTTCTAAAGGAATGTTCAATTATTAGCCTGTATCATTGTGAGAATCACACAAAAAAGTCTTATTCTATTCTTGTCGGAGAAAAAAGTGTTATTTTATGTCAAAAAGGGATTTTTTAAGGATCCCAATTGAATAAGAATGAAGTGTGAAATGAAATGACCACTATTCTATTAAGTGTATATCTAATAGGATTCAGTTTGCACTTTTTAAATGACATTCCGTGAGATAATCCCTTTTCTCATTAACTCAGCCTTTTATGTCTGTTTTCTTTGCATTTAAATTGAAAAATTCCTACAAGATTATTGTTAGAAAATTGCTTTGTGGGACAATGGTCAATAATATGAGATCTATCCTAAAATGCATATTAAATTCACAGGTGTTGTTCTCATTGTGCCCGCAAAAATTCTAATTTTGTGGCATTTTTTTGAAAATTCTTATTAACTGTCTTTCGATCATGACGCCTATCAACTCAATTTTGAGCATTCAATCAATCTTGCAGCATATAAAAATCCTGAGAAATCTTTATCTAGTGGTCAAAATATGTAATTGCTGTGTTATTTTTCTAATATTATCTTCATCCTATTGTGTGCCTTACGAATTGCCTTACTGTATTTTATTCTATTCACATGGCCACAAAAGGATGAAACAGTATATTACAAAAGGTGAAAAGGATTTCACAATAGCCAAAAATGTCATATTCCATCATTGTTTTTGGACATGTGAAAATGATTGAACGATTCAAACCTACCAGCAAAATATAATATCTTGTAGGAGTTATCTAAAAAATGCTTGAGATACTTCCCAGAAGTATAAAACAATAACAAAAAAAATTTTTATTTTAATCTCTTTTTAAAATAGCTGTAACAACTATACAAAGCTGTAATAAAAGTCTGTATCAAATGCATAGATCAGGTCCTCATTTTAAAGTACGTCCACCACGTCAGCCTTTAGATGGAAAGCCTTTCGCAAAAGGTGTCGTCCTTAAGACTTTAATTAAGAAACCCAAGAAGCCAAACTCAGCTAATCGAAAGTGCGTGCTGTTAAGACTATCAACTGGCAAAGAAATGGTCGCATACGTTCCTGGCATCGGACATAATCTACAAGAACATAATGTAGTGCTATGCAGAGTCGGTAGACTTCGTGATACGCCTGGTGTTAAAATCAAATGTGTACGTGGTGCTTATGATTTGCCTCATGTCATAAAACCAATTGCTAAGTAGACATTTGTATAGTTATATCTAGGATCTTTATTATTTCAAATTGAATTATTTTTAAAAAATAAAAAAAAAAGGATTAGTAATTGAAGAAGTCGCTTTTTGCAGACTCATAGATGTTAAAATTGATGGCTTTCCAGTTTACAGTTGTTCTACACTAAAAACTTGACGAAACTAGTTTAATCTTATACAATTGGTAATTTTCATATAGTTAAGAATCAAATTGGGCTTCTAGAGACTTTATTCTTCAACATAAGGCTTAATAATCTTAACACGTAATCAATCTGTAACGGAAACTTTTGAATTTGATTCCGGTTTGTGTCTCGACTAAATTTCCACTTAACTACATTAATTAATGGATGAACTTGCAACACTGTACTATTTAGAGATATCTCAAATAGCTCTGCTAACGAATTGATGAAATCAAGCGATGTTATCTCCAAAGGATCATCCAATTTGATTTTAAACTTGAAAGATGGGATGATTCGATGACTCACTGGATCTAATCTTGTAAATGGAGTGAAATCCAGTCGTAATACAGGATTAAAATGCTTGTTTCGACCCAAATCAAGACTCCATGCGTTACTGCATGTGTGATAAAACTTGATTAACGATTGTTGTAGCTCAATGATGGACATTCAATGTTCAACAATGATTTAACCAATAAATAACATTTAAATAAATAATTTTTTGACTTAATTTATATTTTTAAGTGGGTTTTAATATATTTTAAACGCCATAGATATATTTAAAGGCTCTAAGGGATGATAATTTAACACCTTAAGTGATAAAACCTTTTAATATATATTTTTGTCAATATCTCTGTAATTAAATGAAAATTAAGCTTAAATTGAATTAATTGTTAAATTCACATATTTTAAAATAACACGATGTCTCTTAGTATGAAGTTAAAAAAAAAGCTCCTTGAGATATTATTTAAATCTCAATCTTCCCTTACACTGTACATCAAATTATACTGCAAAACAAGGAAAACAAATGTCCTCATCATAACAATAACTTCATTACCTTTGTCTCATGCCATAGAAACAACTGCTGTTCATCATATCTAAGGTTATATCGTTTAAATCTAATATTTCAGATTTTTGGATTGCCTGTTAAAGAAATAAAAGATTTTTAGAAGAAACACTGTTTTCTGCCAACTCATCGTAAGAAGTAATTTTGTGCCAAATAGAGACGTTAAATGGTCACAATGCAATGGCTAGCAAAAGGATAAAATTGAATAACAATATAACTGTGCATATATATTGCGGTAAAAGGATAAAAACATCTGTATAAATGCAGGAAAGAGTGAATAGCCACAAATGTGTATACAATCTATTAAAAGAGTGACCAAACATAAGAAGAAAAAAAAAGGCTGCAGAGAATAAAAGCTGAATTTTTTGGAATATTTACTTAACAATTGTTTTTGCCGAGTCACTTCAACTCTTGTAAAAGCCGACTGTACAGACAGAATTTTTAAAAATATTCAAAAATGCAATATGTGTCCAGTCTTTCTTCTGTTTTTTTTTTCTCGAATTATTCAGGAATAGTTAAAAAATTGTTTGCAAAACGGTCCCCGAAAAAGAAAGAAGGATTATCAATCATAAAATGTTTCACTTCATTAAGTAACAAAGTTGAAAAGTTCTAAAAGATGAAAGGAACTGTGTATACATCATAAATTTTTTGGCATTGCTACTGGAACCAGGTAATATGGTTAATTTAAAATTATGAAAATATAATAAGCTGAAAATCGTATAATAACAGGAAATAGGAAGTGCTTTTTGCAAAAAGGAAAGAATGAAATCCTTTAATAATTTAAATGAATATATTTAGCTATGGCATTAAAAGATTATGGGTGGCGATCACGTTTTGATCATTCCGACAACGCGTGCTGCTACTTAATACTTCTTATGTGCTAATTAAGTGCTATTTTACATCTAATTAAGGTTCAAAATTTTCATTAATATAAAAAACTTTACGCTTATTTAAATCATTATCAGGTGATAAATGGCAAGGACAAACATATTTCGGAACCATATTTCCAGTTTTAGTTTCAGTATTCGTGAGCAACTTATGAAGTTCATCATTTTCAAAATGCTCAGTCAAGTCACAGCCAAGAGTTTCTTCCTCAACACTTAATCGAATTGGGATTATTTTGTTGACGAACCATAAGATGATTAGTGTGGTTAGAGCAGCCCATAATGCTAAGCAGATTGACGAGAACGTTTGAATGCAAAGTAAGTAGAATCCTCCTCCTATTTTAGATATTCAAAAATAGATTAGTCAATGGGTATGATATGTCATTCATGAAATTACCATAAAATAGTCCTTGATGACCATCAATCGGATCAGCAAATAATCCAACCGCAATTTGTCCCCAAATTCCACCTACTAAATGAATTGCTGTAGCGCCAACTGCATCATCAATTTTCCTGTGAATTATTAGAGTCTTGCATGTTGTTTAAATCTGGCAAAAACGCTACTTACATTCGATCAATAAGTGGTCCGACAATGAAGCAAAGCATGGCAGCAATCAAGCCAACAACAATTGACGTATGGATTGAATATACGGAGCATCCAGCATTTATTGCAGCTTTGTTAAAAATTGATTAAGTTTTCTCATTTTTTAATCAAATTGATTTACTTACCCATTGAGCAAAGAATTCCACAAATCACTTCCAGCACAGACACTTTTCCTTTATTCTTAACCATCGAGTATACCATACTGAAAAATCCAGCAGCCATTGAAGTAACAACTGTTGACACACCGGCTCTTGCTGATGTATTCCATTTTTCACCAGATAATCCGTAGCTTGATCCTGCGTTGAAGCCGTACCAGCCCCACATTACAATTAGTGTACCAAGGCAAAGATTGAAAGGATTTCCAATTGGAAGTGGTTTAGTTCCTTTTTCATATCTACCAATTCGTGGTCCAATGTAATAAGCAGACACTAATGCTCCAGCACCTCCAATAATGTGAACTGGTCCACTGCCAGCAAAATCGATGACACCTAAGTTCTTCAAGAATCCATGTTGCCCCCAGATCCATCCAGCACCAACTGAATAAATGAAGCAACTGAAGAAGCAATAAATAATGTATGCAGAGAACCTGAATCGCTCTCCAGCACCTCCACTGGCAATAGTTGTGCTAGTTGACGCAAAACTTATTTGGAAGAAGAAGAATGTGAATATTTGATTGGCAAATTTATCGTTTTTGTCAGCATTGACAAAGAAGTCACCAAGTCCAATAAAAGGATTCGTGTATTCACCTCGACCGTACATAAATGCAAATCCATATACGTAGTATGCAAAACCAACACAACAAATATCAGCAAATTTCTTCATCAACACATTCACTTCGTTCTTTTTGGACAAAATACCTGCTTCTAGTAATCCTAGGCCTGTTTGCATCGTAAAGAAGATTAGTGCTGATGAGAGAACCCATGCTGAGTCAATAGAATCGATGTCATAAGTACCAGGTATAGCGTAACTTTTATTGTGCGAAAATAGATGAAATGTTGAGTTTAATGTCTCTTTTAAATCTTCCATCACGTTACAAACTAGTAAGTTTATGCATTATTGAGTGTAAACGAAAAACTGAATAGGAAGTTTGTAAAGTATCTGCTTTTATATGAAATAAAATTATTATGATAATTAACTGACTAATGGTGTAAATTTTACAAAACGAAATAATTTACAATTAGTGGACAAAAAATTAGAGGCTTTTTGGGAACTGAGATTTTCGTAAAGCTATAGATCTAAAGGAAAAAATAATCTTTTGGACAACGAGCCTGACTTCCATTGCTTTAAAGGAGTCCGCTCAATTTTTTACATAAACTATTTATAAGTTTTACAATTTACTTAAACTATAGAACAGATTGAATATTTGTACAGTTCTAACAAACCTTGATAAGCTTCTAATACATTAGAAAGTTCCGAGTTTATTTTGAGACCAACGGAAATTCAAAAATTTTGAGCATGTAATTTTCTAAAGTTAAGATTGTGTACGGAAGTGAAATTAAATTCACGTTTCAGCTTGGATCAGTTGCTGATTTTTTTGCCCACAGATTCTGCGGTTAAAACAACGTAAAAAATTGAAGTGTATGAAAATTGTTTTGCTAGACACTACAGAATTTTTTTAAGTTTTTGAGGAATTTAAAAATAAATTCAGAAATTAAACAGATTTTCAAAAAAATAAATCATTTAATTTATATGAAAAAAGAGATTTTTAAGTTAAATTTTAACCCTTGTATTTTCAAAACAGTGAATAATCTTTTGTACTCATACTATACAAATTATTAAAATAATTTAAGGTGTTAACAGATAAAAATTAAATTAAAAGCGGTTAAGTCTTAAACTATTCTTTTTGTGACATATTATTAGTGTTGTGCTAATTTTTCATTAATTTCTGTATTTATGGTATTTATCAAGAAAATTATGTTTCTTAAAATATCATCAAATGAGTTCTCTTGTGTTTAAAACTTGTAATATTAAATGCTTAAAGAAAAAGAATCTAAAATTAAGTGACACTTCATGAACAATATTAAAATTATGCTGATTTGTTAAACCCAATGAAAACTTATAAAAGATTTGTCGAATAGGACTCATACCGCACTAAGACAGCTTTAATTCCTAAGGGAACTAAATTAAACTTATAAATACTGCTTGTTATTGTTTTAATCATAAATCTGATAAGCACGATGGTGTTACAGAAATTCCATTCAACATTTCGTTTTAGCAACGATACACGAATTTGCTTGGAACATCCAGGTTCAATTATTCATTGATTTTTTGCGTTCATTTCTTAAAAGACTTCAATGATATAACAAGATGCATTTACTTTATCAATAAATATGTGAATTATTTTTTTATTCTAAATTCAGAGAGTGCATGTCAATTGTGCCGCAAATAATATTATTGAATTGCGAGAATCCTGACTTATCAAACTTTAATACAAATCTTCTCAGAGAACATTTCGCGAGATCAGAGAGAACAAATTGCACATAATTATAATAAATTAATTTTTCTCATTCAGTTTTTGTAATTCAAAGTGAAAAGATGAGTTGGAAGAATATATTTGCCTTAACATCAAGCATTCTATACTTGATTCTCATTTCATTACTATTTTTTTATTATCGAATAAATTTCATTTGTGGATATAAAAGTGCTTGCATTAGATTTTGTTCAAAAGATACTGAGAAATTTTCAAATAGGATCTTATTTGATAGCTTAAAGAAAGACAATATGACACGTTATTATGATCCTGAATTTGAGAAAATAACTTTTTTTCGTGGAGCTCCAGAGTGTAACGTACAAATGATAAGCATTGATGATGTAAAAGTTGAGAGTGATTACTACAATTCTACCGGTACAATAAATCATTATTTGTATGAGGTAAGTTGTTCAGTTATTGCATATCAAGGAGTTGGGGCTCGGCTGCAATTACTTTTCAGTTTCCTTTGATTTCTGGTGCCGGCTTCTTGGGTACACTGAGAAAGAGGCTTATAAATATCATTCTATTTTTCTTAAAAGGATGGAAGTGTTTATAGCAGGGGCTCAGACTTTACAATTTACAAAAATTGTCTTGCACTGGAAGATGAATCCGCAGATGAGTGGATTACGATGGTTTGTTCAGAAGAAACCATTGTGCAGCCAACAATATTAGTCATAAGTATATTGATAAAGTGTTTTGAATAGATCATTTATTAATAAAAATTTATCTTTTACAGTGACAATATTATCTTTAATAATTTTGCTAGCAACGCTGACAATTTACTCATTCATTTCTGAACTTCGTGATTTTTATGGGAAGATGATCATTTTATTCCTGTCATCAGTGATTTGCACTTATATAGTAGTTCCTGGAATATTTCACGGAAATATCAATGAAAAAGTAAACGTGATTATGGGATATGGATTTACATCTGGCAATCTGTGGCTGAATTCGATGATCCTCAATATTTACTTCAGATGCAGGTTAGTTGCTGTAATAAATCATAATTTACAGTAATTCCATGTGAGTCTTGATAATGAAAATGTGACTGAATTTCAAGGCTAAACATGGGTTATCTCAAGTATTTATTTTGAGCTTCTAGATTCATAAATAGTTTATTAATACAAAATACTTTTCAGAGATTTTAGAACCTTGAAGTCTAAGAATGACAAGTTCAAGCCATTTGTGATTTATGTGTCAATTTTTACAACTTTTGCAGTGCTATTTGTCATTTTGGATATGACATTGCAAAGTAATTTAACACAAAGATTCATTAAAATATGAAATATTAAAATCTTTAATTTTACAGGAAACAGCTTTTCAGGAGAATTCATAAGTCTCGTGCATTATTATTTGATTTTGAATGACCTAATAGTTTTAATCATCACGTCAATAATAATAAGGAATGTTTTAAAACAAATCGACATCTCTGAGCGACTACAGCTTGAAAAAGAGAAGAAATTATTTTGGATTTATGTGAAGCTATTTGCAATTATGTCCGTGACCTGGTCAACCCAGATTTTTGCATTGAAAAGAGAATTAAATCAATTTGGTTGTTTGACTGCTGCTTTGATAATGCTTTTCTCAGCTGTAAATGTGGCTGGGTTGTTTTTAGGAAGAAGAAAAGTGAGGAATTTGCTAACTGAACAGTACAATAGAACTTTCAACAGACAAAGTGAAATGGAATTTTAGATTATTTATTTAGACTTTAAGCAAACTTTAAGTTCGGTCAAGTAATTAATAAAATGAAATTTGAAATCACTTGGTTTGAAGTTATTGCTCAAAAAACCCAATTGAGTACCACTTTGACTCTAAAAACTTCCTCTGGCTACGCCTTAACCCCTAAAAATCTATTTACTATATTAGAGGTTGCCTCAAACTTCAAAATAAACTCTGGATTCAGATAACATTCATTACAAGCCTCCTGCAGCAATTTAAGCATCATTATACTCTCTTGCTTTAATCAACTCATTCCTTATTGAGAGAGTATTAAAATTTATCTCAATTGAGAGATTTTAACCGCACGCGACTTATAAATAAATTGTTCCTTTTCTTGTTCTTCTCATTTCGTTCAAAGTTATTAAGATAAAAAGATGAATAAAAAGATTCTTCTTTCATTAAGTGTAGTTTTAATTTATTTAGTGCTATTCTTGTCGTTTATTTATTTTTTTGAAAAATCAAATGGATGTTCATACTTTTCGCCTTGCATACGATTCTGCTCAACTGATAGAATCAATAATTCAGATATAAATTTACTACAAAACTTTAAAGAAAGTAAAACCGGTAAAGATATGATCATACTCGACACAAATTTCAAGGTCTTTCGCGGGACTCCACCGTGTGGAAAGATGACGCATATTTCTTCAGATGAAGACGGGGATTTTTCAAAGGTACCGTACAGATTCGATTATGTGAGTATTTCTTGAGAATATTATTATTATTTTTTAATCCGTTGAGATTTTTTCATTATAGTCAGGCGGTGTTGTTGTAAATAATAAAGTATACAGCATCTCAAGATATTGCTTTGCAGAATCAAACAATGACTGGAAGCTGATGACTTGCCACCAAGATTATTATCTTCAAAAAGTGGTGCATATATCAAGTATTGACATTTATTTGATTTTTTCAAACTCAAATGAAACGAGTTCCTGTTAATTTGATTTTTTTGAAGTCAATTTCTCGTTAAATTGACTTAAAATCGACTCCGATCCAAAAAAAAGTTGTTGACTCGACTCGATTCTGAGTTTTGGAATTTTTATCCACTTAAAATCTTATGCATTTTCTCAATTCCAATTTAGCAATTCTACTTTCAATTTCGATCCTGAGTTGCACATTATTTGTGTACATCTACTTCAGAGAACCATCAGACTTTTATGGAAAATGTATTATATCTTTAGTATTATCACAAATTCTGACTTACACACTTCTTCCGATCGTAAGGTTCGCCTCGAATGATAGTTTATCAATTATAAGTCATGAATTGCTGGATGTAGTTTTTTCACTTTTTGCAATGAGTCTTATGCTTGTTTTATTGTGGATTACAGCTATGATTGTTCATTTATTTTTCACATTAAGGTAAGGTTTTGCTCATTTACAATTCATTTAAGATAAAATTTATCCAAACTTATTTTAACAGCTTTAAAACCCAACTTCACACTTGGACTGCATTTTCAACTTATTCTATTTTTGTGTGGACTTTTGCAGCATTTTCGGCAATAGTGTTCTATTTTGATCTGCATTCTGATGGTAAATACTGACATCAATTATTTTAAAATTCAATTCTACCATTGCTTAACTGTTCTTAAAGGTTCTGAACGTGAATATTTAATATTTTTGTATACAATTATTGGTTTTGTCGACATTTTTCTTCTTGTTGTAACTGGATTGAAGATTCTTTTAACAGCTCAAGATCTTGCAAACTACAAAAAATTTGAAAATGGAACAAAGACATTATGGATCATCATCAAATTGTCAATTATAATGCTGACGACATGGCCTTTTGAGAGTTTCCTATGGAGAGAAGACTTTGATGTTCCTACTGAAACAGTTGTGGATTTTATAAATTTACTGACAGCTTTAACAATTTCACTTATGCTGATGAGGAGTGACAAGATTTTATTATTTGGAAAATATCAGCAAGTTGATGACCTAAAAAATGATGTTCTTGATTGAAATCAAGTTTGTTATTATATAAGAATTAAAATCACTTATCATGTTTTGGCGGGAAAAGTATTCCTGTCTTAATGTCTTCTTTTATTTTTTAAATAAGTTTTTATGAGCAAATCCAAACATTTTCCATTTTAAATTAAGATATTTTGTTTCGAAATGTTGAGAATATAGTAACGGTTATTTAATATTCGAATTATTTATGCAACTATAATTGGTTAATTTTCCCTTAAGTATAGTTGTTAACCTCGTCATATGAATATTTAGTCTGTTTCTGATGGTTGAATTGAAAACACTAAGGTGGATTATCCTCATTTTAGGATTATCTATTTCTTCGATGCGTGGAAAATCCAAATATTTTTTTTTTCTGATGTAGAATTAATTGGTTAATAATAATCAAGCTAGTTTGAGAAAAATCATTTTTCTTGTAAAGTGAATATCGCGAAAAAATAATTTTAGTATGTGGATTATCCTTAGATTATCCTAGATTATCCTGAAGATAATCCGAATTTTCAATCTTAGTGGGACCCAGTTTTAACATTTTAGATTAATTATGTGAATAATCCTAGGATGATCTCGGATAATCCACCTGCTAGGATAATCTTTTTTTGTGAAATCCATCGTCAAAAAATTCTTTACTTTAAATCTATTTTTTCTGATTCACCGTGCAGTTTAACGAAGTAAAAAATTTCATTGATTATCCTCGAATTAAAAAATTGGATGATCCGACTGGTGAATAATCAACCTTAGTGAAACAGGCCGTTTGTGATTATATATAAGCCGTAAGGTCTCTTTGATTAAGTTTATTAATAAATAAACATTGTGTTCGTCATATCCAACACCAAATTTGTCTGAAATCTCTTGATCTTATTCAACTCTGAGTTTTGGATTGAAACAAACGAAAAAATGAAAATTCTAGCTGTTTTTTATTTTTTGAGCATTAATATGAGCGATGATAATAAAAAATAAAATTCATTGTGTTTATGAATGAAATACTCTCACTTTTACTGAGAAATGATCTTCCTGAAATGATTCTCAAATGAGAGTTTAATTAGCCAGTAAATTCATATTATGCTAAGATTTAAATTGTCTCATTTAGTTCAGAACCATTAAAGCGTAATAATGAATAAAAAACTTCTCTTTACTATCTTTGTGATTTTAATTTATGGAGCGTTATTCTTCTTGTATGCAAACATTTCAAAAAGATCATATGAATGTGGTTTTGGATCGCCATGCATACGCTTTTGTTCATCTGATACAAATGAATATTCAGATGAAAGTTTATTAAAACAATTTAAGGAAAGTAAAAGTTCAAATAGAATGATAAGATCAAATAGCTTGAAAGTTATTCGTGGAGCTCCAGCATGTGGTAAATTAAAGTACTGGCCACCAAATATGGAAGTGAACTCGACTGATCCACCATATAAGTTTGATTATGTGAGTTCAGTTCAGTTTAATTTAGATTGTGTTATGTTACAAATTTTAAAAAAATTAATAGTATGGCGATGTTCAAGCTTTCGGAGATGATTACAGTGTATCGAGATATTGTTTGGAAAAAGATGAAGATGTCTTTGATGGCTGGAAGCTTATGACTTGCTATCAAGATTATTATCTTCAAAAAGGATTTCATGTCTTAAGTATGCCTTAAGTTAATGTTTGGTTGTTAAAAACTAATAATCTTACTTCCTGTTTAGCAATATTCCTCTCAGTAACCCTTCTCGGATTCACCTTATTCCTCTATTGGTATTTTAAAGAACTTTGTGACTTTCATGGCAAAACAATAATTGCTCTAACTGGATCACAAATCTTTACATATTTACTAGTTCCATTTATCAGATACGTCTCTTATTATAGTTATAAATATCGGCAAATAAAACACGTGCTTTATTCACTCTTTGCTGTGAGTCTTGTTATGATTTTGCTATGGATCACTGTCTTGATTGTTCATACATATCTTACATTCAGGTAAGCTTATTACATTTTTATAAAGGCATTCTGGATTTATAAATTTGATCAAGTTCTGTTTTTGATTGATGTCATTTGTAAATAGCTGTTTACTAATCGATGATTGTTCATTCATATTTATTTAGAAATTTCAAGATTCAAACTTCAATTCCGCATGAATTTTCAACTTATGCAATTTTTGTATTAAGTTTTAGCATGTTTTCTGCATTCGTATTTATACAAGACACGATATACCATGGTGAGTAACAATCAACGATCCTTAACTCTTTAATATTGTATCACTATCTTATTTCCAAAGGCGGTGGCGTTGAATATTTATTCTTCATATACATAATCATTGCATCTATCGACATCTTCCTTTTGATAGTTACTGGAGTCAAAATGCTAATCACTTCCCGTCATCTCGAACATTCAGAACAAGCTAGATTTGACAATGAGAAAAAATGGTACTGGATAATCAATAAAGTAACACTAATGATGCTGGTCACTTGGCTTTTTGAATCACTTTTATGGTTCCGCAGTTTTAATGTTTACAGTGAAACAATTGGCGATTTCGTTAATTTACTTACGGCTACAGCAATTATGTTAATGCTGGTTGGAAGAGAGAAAGCGAGAATTTTGTTGTTTGGGAAATATCGGGAAGTTTATGACGTAGAAAATGATGCTGATTAAGGATGATATTGATTGAATCATTTTGAACCTTACTTCATCGTCGCATTTGATCGTTCATATTAAAACACTGGACTTAATTGTACGCTTACTGTAACATTGACATTCGCAGTGTATTTAAATGTGTAAGAACATTTAATGCGCAAAAACATGAAAATCTTTAATCGAAAATAATTCTGTAGAAATAAATATAAATTAACAATAAAATGAATCATTTTTAAACTTGACCGAATACTCATTTCATAACGAAAATAACAAGTTTATTATCAAGGATTTTCGAGTTGTTCTCAGAGAACTTTGTCTGTCTCTTCTTATCAATTAAATGAAGATTATAAACAATTTAATTCATTTAATGTTTGCAATTCAAAGTGAAAAGATGAGTTGGAAGAAAATCTTTACAATAACTTCTAGCTGCTTATACATATTTTTTTTGGGATTATTCCTATTTTATAACTACCGAATTGACATTCTTTGTGGACAAAGGAATCCATGCTTACGATTTTGTTCAACAGATACTGCAAAATATTCAGATAAAGATTTATTTGATAGTTTATTGAAAAACAACATAACTCTTTGGTATCAAAATAAATTTGAGGATGTGAAAATTTATCGAGGACTTCCTGAATGTAGTGGAAAAATTATAAACATTAAGAAGTTTGAAGAAAGTCATCCAATTGATAGTAACTTGAAGTATTATTTTTATACTTCAAAGCATAGAATTTATATGGTAAGAAATAAAAATATTAAAAATATTAATTCAACAATTGTTTTTTGAAAGGATGGCGATTTAGGTGGAACTGGAAAATACTACACTTTAAACAAATACTGCATGGAAAAGAATGAAAATGTTGATAACAATCTTATAGCAGAAGATCCTTTACACGAGTGGATGCCGATGATTTGTTCAAATGAACCATCAATTCAGAAGCCAGTTCTCGTGACACGTAAGAAAAATATTGAAAATTAATTTGAAAATTATTTTTATAGTTTGTTTATACGCCAGTGACTTTCTAGCTAGCTTATTAATGCAAATGAATTATTCAAAATATTTACTATTTCATTTTGTCTAGTAACTGTTTTGTCAATAATCGTCTTGGCATCAACACTTTCGGTTTACTTGTATTTTCCTGACCTTCGTGAATTCAATGGAAAAATGATCATTTGCTTTCTGATATCGATGATTTGCACGTATTTAATCATTCCTGGAATTATCCAAAAAGAGCAATATTCACCAAACTTAATGGTTTTGTTGCTAGCATTTGGATTTTCATCAGGAAATTTATGGCTTAATTCTATGCTGTTAAATATTTACTTTAGATGCAGGTGGGTTTCATGAAATACTTAATTGTCCAAAGTCAATCTAAATGTTTTTTAACTTTCAATTTTTAAAGTTATTTATTTTTTTGACTTTTAATTTCTAAAGTTATTAACATTTTTTTTAAATTGAAATTTTGTCACAAAATTCAATAAATAATGAATCATTTTAAATTCACAGAGATTTCAAGAAAACAAAGACTAGAGATGACAGATTCAAGTCTTTTGCAATTTATGTGTCTGTTTTCACTGCATTTACTGTGCTGTTTGTCCTTTTTGAAATGCGATCTTACAGTAAGCAACAAAATTTTGAAGGCAATTGTAGAACTGATCATCACTTGATCAGTTCCGCAAGCTTGATTTTCAAATTAAAGATAAGTATTAAATTATATTCAATTTTAGGACGGAAATCTTTTGGAACATTCACTTCGTTGGTGCATTTATACTTAATCTTTAATGACATAATAATCATAATCATCACAGCATTTATAATCAGAAAGATTTCAAGGCAAATAGACTTCTCTGAGCGAGTTCAACTCGAAAAAGAGAAGAAAATCTTTTATATTTATGTGAAGCTATTTGCAATCATGTCCGTGACCTGGTCAATTCAGCTGTATGTTACATCATCCGAATTAAATCATTTTGGATGTTTGACATCAACTTTGATAATGCTTTTCTCAGCCGTCAATGTGTCTGAACTGTTTTTGGGAAGGAAGAAAGTCAGAGAATTGTTATCACGAAAATATTATGGAGAAACTAGAGAGTCTGTAGAGAATAATTGAAATTAAAATTAATTATTATGTTTTATGTATGAATTTTCAGTCTCTCTCAGTCTTCCTGATTAAGTGTCTGAAATAATTCTCAATTGAGAGTCTAATTAGCTATTAAATTCACAAAAATCTCTCAAATTGTCTCATTTAGTTCAAAGTCATCAACGTGAAATGATTAATAAAAAAATTCTCGTTACTATCAGTGTGATTTTAATTTATGTGTCGCTATTCGCCTTGTTTATTTATTTGGCCAATAGATCACATGAATGTAGCTACAAAACTCCGTGTATTCACTTCTGCTCATCAGATAGAAATAGATTCTCAGATGAATATTTAATAGATGAATTTATGAAAAGTAAGTCAGCTAAAGATTATGTAGAAGATAAAGCTGTATTGAAGGCTATTCGAGGAGCTCCATCGTGTGGAGAAATGAGAGATTGGTTGCCGAATGACGAAGTGAATTCTACAAAGCCTCCATATGATTTTAATTTTGTGAGTATAATTAGGATATGATTGTCTTTCCTTTCCTGACTACTTGAATAATATATTTATTTTTATTTAAACTACAAGTACGGTGATGTTACTATTGATGATGAAAAATACAGTGTCAATAGATATTGCATTGAAAAATCTGAAGATTTCTATGATGGATGGAAGTTAAAGACTTGCTATCAAGATTACTATATACAGAAAGGATTCCATTTCTTAGGTTTGAATTTTTGATTATTTAAACTTTAAATTTTAAAGATGAAATCAACGTGAAAGATTTTCCCACCATGTTGGTTTTCTCCTATTGACTCTCTGACTAACAATTTTCTTTCAATTTAGCAATTTTTCTGTCAATTTCACTCCTTGGAGTCACACTTTTCATCTACACTTATTTCAAAGAACTTCGAGACTTTTACGGCAAAACAATAATAGCATTAACATCTTCGCAAATAGTCGCATACGCTTCTATTCCTGTTTTTAGATATTTGTCGTCCATAAAATATTCACATCGAAATTCAGTGTTTCTGCTGATTTCTATGTTAATTATAAGCTTGGTCTTCATTTTGTTGTGGATGACCGTCATGATTGTGCATTTATTTTTCACATTCAGGTAATTTATTCTATTCATTTAGAAGAAGCGATAAGTAAAGCCTTGATATAACTTTACAGGAACTTCAAAGACAAAACATCAAATTCGTATGAATTTTCCACTTACTCAATATTTGTGTTTTCATTCGGATTGTTCTCAACAATTGTTTTTGTTGATAGCATATTCAACTATAGTAAGCATTAAATGACTTTTTGAAATAATATTATTCAATTAATAATCAAAACAAAACTTCCTTTTAAGATAGCGGCTTGGAATATTTGTTTTTTATGTACTTCATCATTGTTGTATTGGATATCATCCTATTTATCATCACAGGTGTTAAAATGTTAATGATATCTCGTCAACTTGAACACTCAGAGCAAGCTAGATTTGACAGTGAAAGAAAATGGTTTTGGATAGTTCTGAAAATGACATTGGTTATGCTTATAACATGGCCTTTTGAGCTTTATTTGTGGAGTCATAAGTTTGATGTATTTGGTGACACAACTGGCGATTTTATTAATTTACTTACGGCAACAACAATTATGTTAATGCAAGTTGGAAGAGAAAAAGCTAGGATTTTATTGTTTGGAAAATACCGTGAAGTTAATGATATGGAAAATGATGCTGAGGATTGAAAAAGATTAATTTTATTATTACGAGAGAAATAAAGATTAAGAAAATATTTTAAATAAAATTAATCGTGACTTATTCTCGTTTATTTCAGTAAAAATACTGCAGAATTAAAATTGTTTTGAAAATAACAAGTTTGTGATTTTTAGAGATTTTCCGGATTTTCTGGGATTAATCCCGAAAATTCCGAGTTTGTACGCCTTGAAAAATAACATGATTGATAAGGCAAATTACGCAAAAAATAATATCAATCCTTTATTTTAATTGATGGAACATTTTTGGCGGAACAATAAGAAAATTATCTTGATATTAACCTAACGGGGGTGAAGATCATCTGGCAGACGGAATTCCTAGGAACTTTTCTTAGGAATTCCTAGAAAGTTTTCTGCGATTTCCTAAAAAAAATTCCTTAGACTTCCTATGATTATTGCCCAAATTTCCTAAATTTTTAAAAGTAATTCCTAGTAAATCTAGGAATTCCTAATTTTTTTAGAAAAATGTCCTAGGACATCTTTAACAGACCTCCTCTCAATTCACCATACTCTTGTCTTTACAAATTCTCTGAGAAAAATAAAGAAAGAATCCTAAAAGCATGAAATAATTCAATCAAATTTTAATTCATAAAGTGCTCAACAATCATCGACTCAACATGCATTTAAAAAAAATATTCACATTCAGTTCCAGTATTTTATATTTAACTCTTGTTTCTTTATTCTTATATTATTCCAAATTGGAAATAATCTGTGGATATGAAAGTTTATGTATTCGATTTTGTTCACTGGACACTGAAGAATTTTCAGATAAATTTTTATTCGATGAGTTTATGGAAGGTAAAATACATATGTACGATTATGATGAATACGATATGATGAATATTATCCGAGGTCCACCTTTATGTAATGGTAAAATTAAACCGTTGGAAATTCTGAAGGAAAAGGAAAATAAATTTAAAGTTTATGATGTGAGTACAGCCTTGATTTCATGCATATTCTTACTCTTAAGAACAAAATTCTTCATTTATAAATAGACTGGAGAGTTAAAAAGCAATAATGATCAGTACGCACCGTATTCGTTCTGTTTGGAAAGGGATGATAAATCGTTTCAAAAATTTATACCAATGATTTGCACGGATGAAGAACTAACTGTGCACAAATCAGCTCTTATGATGAGTAGGACATTCACATTTATCCAAATTTTATTATTTTCCATGCATTTTTCTATTTAGTGACGTTGACTTCAATCATTATCTTGGTCCTAACATTATCAGTTTACTTATACTATTCTGAGTTGAGAGATTTCAAAGGAAAGATGATCATATTCTTTCTTGTGTCAATGATTTTCACATACGTAGTTATACCTGGATTTTTCGATCTAGAACAACATTATTTCAAACTGATCAATCTACTCGTTGCATTAGGATTTTCATCTGGAAATTTATGGCTTAATTCAATGATTCTTAATATTTACTTAAGAATAAGGTGAGTTTCCGCCATTTTTAATTTTTACTTAAGCCACAAAATCCACCATTTTATATTTAAAGAGGGTCTAGGGTGAAAAAACGTGATGGGTCAAAAATTGATAAGAATTTGGTTAGAAATTATTGGGAATAACCCAGTAAATAAAATAATCAAACAAAATTCATGGTTGACTTTATAAAATTTATTAGGTTATCTGTATTATATTTAAGATGATGCTTGTTTACAATCATAAGAATTTTTTTTTTCATTTCTATTAGAGATTTTAGATTTTCAAAGCCAAGAGTAGACAAATTTGCATCATACTGTACATATGTAGCCGTTTTTACATCATTTTCTGTAATCTATAGTGCTTGGCGATGGGAGACTTCAAATTACCGAAAAATTCCAGGAAATAGAGATACACACGCTATTAAATTTATCACAATTTTCCATACTTACTTTATTTTCGTTGACTTAGTAATTCTTATCATTACATCAATTAAAATGAGAAATGTTACAAAGGTTATTGGATTCACTGAGCGAGTCGAATTCGAGAAAGAAAAGAAAATCTTTTGGATTTATATGAAGCTATTTGGAATCATGTCCGTGACCTGGTCGATTCAGATTTTTGCATTGGAAGAAGAAACAAATCATTTGAGCTGTGTAATTGCTGATTTGATAATGTTTTGCTCAGCCGTCAATGTGTCTGGCATTTTTGTAGGAAGGAAAAAAGTCAGAAATTTGATATTTAATAGGAATTAAGTAAGAATTGGATTTAATTTATGGAACAAAATTAAAAACATTTTATAAATTGTGAATTTTTTTTTAATTTAAGCTTCTACATTTAACATTGCATGATATTTTCCAAATAATAAAATTTTCACTTGTTTCCGTCCTAGTAAAATTATTGAAATTATTACAGCTGTAAAAATCATCACAAAATCTGATATGAAGTTAGTCAATAAATGATAATTAATATCTTCCCATGTGATGAACACAAATTTCCAAGTCACCAGCATTATCAGAGATAACTTTACAGTTATCCAGTACCATTTCCTCTCAGTGTCAAATTTTGGCTGCTCGGAGTGTGTAAGATGTCGGGAGACAATAAGCACTTTGATTCCAGTTATGATCAGTAATATAATATCAATGAAACCAATGAAGAAGTAAATCACATACAAATAATGCTGTCGAGAATCTTTAAAAATTAACAAATTATTGAGCATGCACAAATATAGAATAAAGTTATTATTACCATCTGAAATCCTTTCCCAAACTAACAAGAATGCAGAAAATATGATGAAAGTAAGAACAAATGCGACAAATATTGAGAAATCGTATTGATTTAATACTTGTTGCTTGAAATTTCTGTAATTAAAGATTTAGAAGAATATCATTTGTTTACATCGTTTCTAAGATGTTTTTATGTAGTTGCAGTTAAGATTAGTAGCAGGGACCTTTCCAAAATGAGGTATTCTACTCTAGACAGCTTAGGACATCCCGCCTCCTCTCTTTGAAACATCATAATTGACCCTACGCTAGATAGTACTAGGGTTAGGTAAAGTACCCATGTTCATCCCTAGAAATTGGCCCCTGTGACTATAATTCAAGTTAAATCGGTATATTCTAATATACTAAAAGAGTCAAATTCTGAAAATTACGATAAAGTACAGCTCAGACTATCCAAATGCGAATAGAATAGAATTTTAAATATCTTGATTGAGTTTTATAATCTGATCCAACCTCCTTTCAACTCCTTTATATACATTATACTTACTTGAACGTCAAGAACGAATGTAAAATCATTGCAGTTATCCAAAGTAGAATCATCATCATTGTTGTTGTATAAATCATAGGTAAGATAACTCCAAAATAACCTCTAAAAAGTTTTTGTTCATCGTGATCGAACACAGCTAATGGAATGACAATATATGCACAAATTAAAGGCACCATTAATACGATTGTAAACTTTCCATGAAAGTCTCGAAGTTCCTTGAAGTAGGAATATACAAATATTATGGATCCAAATAGTAACACTGAGCAGGATATTGCTGAATGGAAAAGGTCATTAATTCCTAAATTGATTTGATGTTAATCACAATGACAAACCTATGAAATGAAATATTTTATAGAAGTAGACATCCCGTTGACAAATCATTATTTTCCAGCCATGCTGGACATCATCTGATTTTTCTAGACAGTATTTTTTATAGTTATATTGTTTTCTCAAGTGCATAACAACATTGCCAAGCTGTAGAGAAATTTTAAATGATCGGAAAATAGTTAAACAAAATTAAAACAGAACAACTTACAGGAGAGAACGGCGACGTCGAATTTTCCCTTAGTTGGAAATATTTCAATTCACCACACACAGGAAATCCTCGAAAAACATTAAAATTAAATCCAATGAGATTCTTGAAGCTTTTGCCGAACTCACTCTTTAGGAATTCATCCAAAAGAAAGTCATCTGAAAAGGTTTCTGTATCTGCTGAGCAAAACCGAATGCAAAATTGAAAATAGTTTCCACATTGCGATTGTCCTGCAACATTTTTTGTAACATACACAAAGAGAATCGCGTAAATTATGACTGCACAGATAGTCACGATTATTTTTTTGTTCATCTTCATTCTTTAAAATCCTAACTTGAAGTGAATGAAATTTTTTGTGTTTAATTTTTAAAAGTTCTGACACAATTAAGATTCTCAAAATACAGTTCTTCAAAAGGCTTCCTCGAATTCTCTTTAGAACGTGAGATTCTGATGTCAGTCAGCTTCATCCCACCTCCTAATGATCATAATTCTCTTGAATTTAAATGTCACACACAATTTCTCATTGGTAAATGTTATTAAAATCAGCACAAAAATGCAATTTCTCTGAGAATTTTCTTGAAGCAATCACCAAAAATCTCAAATTTATGACAAAAAGTCTCAAAAAAACTTCAATCATTAAGTATCAAGCTCTCAACGTGACAACATGAATTGGAAAAAGCTTGTCGCAAACAGTGCTAGTTTAATATATTTAATTCTCATTTCTTTATTTTTTTTCTTCTTCAAAACCGATTTTATTTGTAGATTTGAAAAGCCATGCTTGCGATTTTGCTCATCAGATACTGAAAAATATTCAAATGTGTTGCTATTTGATGAGTTTATCGACAGCAATGTTACTTACTGGTTTCAAAATAATTACAATTTGACAAACATTTTTCGTGGACCACCTTACTGCAATGGCGAAATGAAACTCTTAGAAACTGTAAAAAATAAATACAATGATGAGGATGAGGAAGAAGATGTCGATGATGAAGATAATGGCATGCTTTCAATTTATGAGGTAATTTATGAGATTTGATCCCGAGAACTCTTGGAAAGAAGCTGTTGACAGAGACAGTATTGCATTTGGTATGGGTAATTGGCAAACGGGAGCCAGCTTCAGGCGCCATCTAAGGCAAGCCATGGATCACAATTGATCTGTACGGCCAGCGATGTAAGTAATTAAGTTATGAGATTTGATTGTAATGGAACAAAACTGCAATCAAAGTTGTATTTGGCGGTTTAATGATTTTCAAGCATCTCCTTTCGAGACTTGGTGCTGTTCAGGTTATGGATCTGAGAAAAAGCAATTTGGCATAGTTCTTTACTGATTCTAAACATTTAAATATTAATTTTAGAATGGCCATCTTTACAAAAATGGAGAAGCTTACACTATAAACACTTACTGCTTAAAAAGAGACGAAGACGCATCACACAAGTTTGTGGCAATGATTTGCGTCAAAGACAAGCTAACAGTAAATCAATCAGCTCTTGTGGCTAGTAAGATGATTAAAATATAATTGGTTTACAAATAAATTTAAACCTTATTTCATTTGTAGTTTCAGTCATTTCTATAATCATCCTGACGTCAACTTTATCAGTTTATCTTTATTATCCAGAACTTCGTGATTTTTATGGCAAAATGATCATATATTTTCTTATATCAATGATCTGTAGCTCTGTCACTCCGCTTAGAGTTTTTGACGACAAGAATTTTATGTTCAAGATTATCAATTTTGTAATGGCATTTGGATTCACATCGGGAAATTTATGGCTTAATTCTATGGTGCTTAATGTTTACTTTAGATGCAGGTGAGTTTTAATGATTTTTGTTTTGGGTTTGCAAAATTTGAGGTTGGTATTTCATGTGCTTTGATAATTACGTTAAAATGGTATTTCTTTGAGCTTCCTTGAGTTCAAAATGGAATAAGGAGTTGTTGAGGATGTATCCATAGGAATAATAGTCGGTATCTAAAGCTAATCTAATCTCAGATTCAACTATTGAACATTTAATACTCTCGGTCATTGATTTTGAGTGTCCGGGAAGCCCTAGAAACCAGCCCCTGATTAAAAGCACTTCAACTCCCTCAAAAATCCAGGCTATATCCTTTCTTTTATACAAAACTTAATATAATTAAAAATTATAAGGTTGACTTTTTATTGGCTAGGTTATCTCATCACAAAAGTTCATTTCTATTCGAGTAGAATTTAAAATTATTTTGTACTTCTCTTTAATTTTTCATAGGGACTTCAGAAGCTCAAAATCTAAAGATGGCAACTTCTCATCATATGCTTCATATGTTGGAGTATTCACAACATTTGTTTTAATGTTCATCTTATGGGAAATGACGATTCTAAGTAATGAAAACTTAAAACTTTAAAAAATAATAATCACAAACAAGAATTTTAAATTTTTTACAGGACATAGCTCTGCCATCAAATTTATCGCCCTTGTGCATTCATTCTTGATATTCAATGACTTTGTGGTCCTTATCATTACATCATTCATAATCAAGAACATTTCAAAGCAAATTGGATTCTCTGAGCGAGCCGAGTTCGAGAAAGAGAAGAAAATATTTTGGATTTATGTGAAGCTATTCGCAATTATGTCCTTGACCTGGTCAACTCAGATTTATGCATTTGAAAATGAAGAAATTCGTTTTGATTGTTTGACAGTTGCCTTTATTATGCTTTTTTCGACTTTGAATGTAGCTGGATTGTTTATGGGAAGGAAGAAGGTTATAGATTTAGTGACTAGGAATAATTGATGAGTTAAAAATAATGAAATAAAATATTGAATTTTAAAACAAAGTCCCGAAAGATTGTGAGTAAAATATTATGTATCTTTTTTGCGTAACAGCTTATTAGTTCCACGGATTAGGCAAACTAATTAATACGAAAATTTAAAAATAAAGTTTGACCTTGAAAACATTGAATTTAAGTAGTAACATTAAAAACATTTTTTCAACAAATATTGATCAAAAATCAAAATGTGCACGGCATAATTTGACAGTGACGTTTAAAAATTGAGAATCGTTCTCAATCTAAACGATTCAACTGAAAACTAAGCATTAAAAGCAAGAATAACATCATTTCGCATTTATTCATTAAGCAAGAAAGATGAACAAGAAGTTGATAGTGACTCTGAGTGTTATCACAACTTATGTGATTATTTGTGGATTATTTATTAAATTTTTCAGAGAAAGCGATTCTTATGGCACACGATTTTGCTCAAGTGACAAGAAAAAGTTTTCAGATCAATTTCTTTTAACTGAAATCATAAAAAGTAATTCGTCAAAATTATGGCGAAATGGTGAAGACTTTGATTACATAAAATATATGTCAGTTCATCGTGGACGACCTTTATGTGGAGGATTAGAGTATGTATCGTTGGATAGAGTTTTAGCTGATCCGGATTATGAATTAAACTTTGTGAGTATTCTAAACTTAACAGACATAGGACATGATAAGCGGTCCCGTATTGTGCTGTTTAGGGTTTCAAGAATAATACTAAGTCAGCATCCTCGCTACATTCTTGTCAGTTCCTAAATTTAATTTCCAAAAATACTTTGCTTATATCAACAGAGAGGAATGATCATCATCGATCGCCAAACGTACGACCACGAAAGATACTGTCTAGAAAAGGTTGATGATGATCCAGATGGATGGAAGTTGATGATTTGCCACAGTGATGTTCTTTATCATAGAATATTTCATGCAACTGGTAAGTTTTGCATCTAAATACTGAATTTTTTCTGTTTTCAATGATGTCATGCAATATTTTTTCAAATGGAACATAAAAATTCCTGATTGTGTATGTCATAAAAATAACAATTCTAATCTGACTCCCAAATGCTCATTTATTTTTGAAAAAATTTATTTTCTTTTCTTTCCTCAGTAATTTTCCTCTCGATTTTGCTGTTTGGATTCACAATATTCACATATGCTAAAAACGAGGAGTTGAGAGATTTCAAAGGAAAAGCAGTTATTGGACTTATGTTGGCAGAAATTCTTGCGTATTCAACGCATTCGATTAGATTTCTTGCACAAAGTCAATACAACATGATTTTGATTTCAGCATCTTTAATGGGTCTGCTGCAAATTCTTCTGTGGATTACAGTTTTGGTTGTTCACGAGTTTATTGCATTTAAGTAAGTTATTCTATGGACATCTTTACAGGTAGCATTAAAAAAATTACAGAAGTCCTCGTGTTATTAATCGAGGGACTTAAGCACATTTTTGTGTAATCGATCAGTATTTGATTATCTAATTATTTTGCGTTTTGAATTTCAAATTTTTACCGGTTAAAAAAAATCGAATTTCTGAACGTACCCTGATTACAATTTTTAAAACGGTTGAAAATAATTCAAGTTTCTAAACGCACCTATCACGTGTTTTTCATATGAAATAAAAAAATCATTAATAAAGTATAAATACACTGTTTTAAGACTTTTAACTGTTTGTCCGGCCAATAACTCGATAGAACTGAGCTGATAAAACAAACCCGAGCTCTCTACGATGTCTGGTTAAAAAGTTTTTCTGGCCCCGAGCAGCCGAATAAAGCGAATTATTAAGCTCCCTTTTCGAAACAAGTTTCAAAAATGCGCTAAAAAACTGTTACTTCTTTAATATGTCAACCATGATGTCTAGCAACGAGAGCTTCAAGTCTTTTAGACTCAATTACTATTCTAACTCAAACCACTTTTGTTTATTTCCAGAAATTTCAAGAATGCAGCAAAAACTGAACAAAAATTTAGATTCTATGCTTTAATCGAGATCCTATTCACCATCTTATTTACAATCCTAATCATTTCCACAAATATAAATCATCAACGTATGTTCATTTTAATTTAAGTAAAGTCGTGACTTAATTTTAACATTCAATTATCATTTCATTTGCATCTATAGGTTCAATCTCAGTCGACTATTTTTTCATTGCAATCTTTTTCATCGGTGCTTTTGATTTGATTGTTCTTATCATAACTGGAATCATGATTTTAATTATTTCACGGAGCATGACACTTTCAGACCAATCGAGATTCAAAAATGAGAAAAAGTGGTTTTGGATTACTGTAAAGCTGTCACTTATCATGTTAATAACTTGGCCTTTTCAAACGCTTGACTGGCTTATTGAATTTCACTTGCATGGCTTCATGATCCAAGATTCTATATTATTATTAACAGCTATTACAGCTACCATCATTTTGTTGTCGAGAAAGAAAGTTAGGAATTTGATGTTCGGACAGTATCAAGGAATAAATGATACGGAAGCATGAATATGTAACTCGTTACAAGGGACTCAGGTTTAAACCTACCTCAACATCAAAACATATTCAGCATCAGTTAAATTATCATCATTTACTCATTGCCCAAATTCGAGCAGCTTTTGCTCTTTTTAGTATTTTTGAAATTAAAAAAAAAATCTTGTCTCATTTTGAGTTTGCTTTTCAAAGAATAAAGATGAATAAAAAAATAATTGTGACTATCAGTGCAATCATCATTTACGCAACACTCTACGGATGTTTTTTTAGAGTTTTTAAAGACAAGTCTGATTGTGCATCTAATTTTTTATGCCTACGTTTCTGCTCAGATGATATATTGACATTTTCTGATCAAGATTTATTAAATGAGTTCCTAAAAAGTAAAACTGGTAGCGAATGGGATGATTCCGATCGGAATGATTTTAAGGTATTTCGAGGAACGCCAGATTGTGGTGAAATGAAGTTTGTTGCACCAAATAAAAATGTGACAAAGTACCGTCTTCCGTATCACTTTCACTATGTAAGTTGAATGATTTTTAGGAACTAGAACTCCATTTCAAATTTTTTTGATGATTGAAGAGAATTAACTCTTTGATTAATCATAATCTTTTGATTACCTTGAGTATAAGTTTCTAAGATCATCAAATAAACGATTTAGGCTTATTAAATCTATAAAATTAATTCAACAGCGAGGGTTCATAGTCATTGACGGTGAAAGGTATGACTTCAAACGATATTGTCTTGAAAAATCAGATTTCGTTGAGGATGGCTGGAAGTTGATGATTTGCCAACAAGATTATTTTTACTACAAAATATTTCATGTGATTGGTATGCGAATTCCTGAATATCTTAGAATATAAATTTACAATTTTTTTTTCTTCATTTTTCAGTCATTTCCATTTCAATCTTAATATTCGGATTAATTCTGTTCGTTTATTCCTACTTCAAGGAGCTACGAGATTTTTATGGAAAATTTACAATAGGTTTTATGGTGTCTCAAATCATTGCTTATGCAATAGTTCCGTTCATATTGTTTAACAATAATAATAGAGGTATGAGAGGTCTATTTGGTATAATAGTGCCCGTATCATTTGGCGGATCAATGTTGATGACCTTACTTTGGATAACTGTCATGATTGTGCATTCATATTTGACTTTGAAGTGAGTATGTTCATCGTTATCGTAGGACTGTAATAGAAAGTCAAAGAGTATAGTTCGGGTAGCACTGGTTTAGAGCCTGGATCTTAGTAGAGTCTTTACCAGGCGCGTAGCCAGGAGGGTTTTGTCCCCCCCCCCCCTTAAACGTTTTAAACCTCAGCGAGAGCACGGCCTTAAACGCTTAAGAGGGGGACAAGACCCTCCTGGCTACGCACCTGGTCTATACTAAATGAATCTAGATGACAAAGCTAATAAAATCTTTAATTTCAGGAACTTTAAGAATCAACCATCAAAACCAAATGACTTCTTAATTTATGCAGTCTTCGTTATCACTTTCATCATATTCTCTGCATGCGTATTGGCTCTCGAAAGAATATTTTACAGTAAAAGTTATCAATTCTAAACATTTTAATAATAAACTAATTTTTTTTTGCATTTTTCACAGATTCTGCTTTGAAGTATCTATTCCTATCTTACTGTTTCATTGGTTTTTTGGACATTTTCCTTATGATTGTCATTGGAATCAAAGTTTTCATCCTTTCTCGTCATATTTCACACTCCGAACAACCATTATTTGACACAGAAACAAAATGGTACTGGATTACTGTAAAGCTATCACTGATCATGCTAGCGACTTGGCCATTTGTGATGCTTACGTGGTCAAATAAAAGATTTGACCATTTAATCAGTTTATCATCAGATTTTGTGATAATACTTACAGCAATAATGATATCCGTAATTTTATTAGGAAGGAAGCAAGTTAGAATTTTGATATTTGGAAAATATCGTGGAATCTCGAATCTGGAAAGTTGAAACATAATTTGTAATGTAAATTACGATGATTAATAAAACGACATTTTCAAAAAGCCTTAAATTTAAGTAAATTCATTTTTTTTTTCGTTTAAATCAGTGGTGTCCAACCTTTGTGTGCCATGGCACAACTTGGAGGTAAGCCATGACAAAACCGCCCTCGGCTTATGGATCGTGGAATATTTTCACGAGTGTGCCGCGGCACATGGGTTTGCCATCCCTGTTTACAAACAATATATGCACACACATATTAACTGAATCTTTGCACAGTGTAGAAAAAAATTCAGTAATGATTAAATAAAAAATTTGATCACAGAAACACGAAATAATTTCAGTCAGTGTTTGTAAATTAAAGAAGTAAGATGAACAAAAAATGTCTTGTAACTTTCGGTATAGTCGCAATCTACGCAACTCTAATCGGATTTTTCTTTAAATTTTATAAAGAAAGTTCTGTGTGCTCTGAATTTAGTTCTTCATGCATTCGTTTTTGTTCTGAAGATGTTGAAAATTATTCGAATGAATTCTTAGTTGAAGAATTTAGAAAAAGCAAATCAGGCAGACATTTGAAGGAGATTTCAAATATTTATCGAGGATTGCCAATATGCGGTGGAGTTTCTTTTTTGACGCCATTTTATAATGAGACTTCTAGTCGTCCACCATACAACATTCAAAATGTAAGTTGAGGTGTTTCTTTGCAATTTTCGGCAAATCATATTTTAAAAATTAATTTACAACTTTTTTAAATTCATCCGATTAGAATGGAGTTTTAGACATTGAATTTAGAAAAAAATATGATCAACTTAGATATTGTCTTGAGAAATCAGATGATGAATATGATGGATGGAAGGTCTTTGCTTGTGATCAAGATGTGAAAATTCGCGCAATTTATCACTTAACACGTATTAAATAATCAATTAAAAAAATATGCTAATTCTAATTATTTTCTTCATCTTACAGTGATTTCAATTTCAATTATATTGTATGGATTCGTATTGTTCATGTACTGTAACAGTAAAGAACTAAAGGACTTTCATGGGAAGTGGACAATTTCCTTTACTTCATTTCAATTTGCGACACTTATTCTATTCTCATATTGCACTTTAACTGAATTTAAAATTAACTTTAAGCATCCAATTTTGGAATATTTATTTGTTTCCTTCATCTTATCTATGATGTTTGGGATTTTATGGATCACGGTTATGATTTTTCATGAATATTTCACATTCAAGTAATTATGTTTGGATTTGCTTTTGACTCATTTGAAGCTCAAATTTTTATTATTTTCTCAGAAACTTTAAGCATCAAAAAACAATTCCTTACAACTTAACAAAATATGCTGTTGTTACAACTATACTCATCATCATATCTATATTTTTATCTAGTGGTAATAATCAAAATGTAGCAAAATATTTCTATAAATATTCTCTATTAATATTTCTTTCATTGTACAGACATTGCATCAATGATGTATACATTCATCGGAATTCTTGCCATTGCTACATGGATCGTAACAGGTTTCAAAATCTATGCCTTATCTCGGAATCCAACCTTTTCGCAACAAGCAAGATTTAATTTTGAAAAGAAATGGTTTTGGAATTGCATGAAGTTGTCTTTAACCTTAGTGATAGCTTGGCTCATTCAGTTCTTAGCACTAGGAAAATATTACAATTTACTGCTTTTTATGATTGCAGATTCAATTCTATTTCTCACAACAATAACAATCACGATGATTGCTTTAGAAAGAAAGAAGATTTTTGGATCAAATTGTGAAAAATATACTGGAATAATCAACACAAATGTTGAAAAATTAGAAAAAAAAGTTGAAACTGAAAATGTAAAAGTGTGATTAATGGCTTTGGATGAATAAAATTTAATTTTTGAAACTTTAGCTTTTTGTATTTTGAAACTTGAATCTTAAAAAATTAATTTGTTATCTGATCTGTTTGATTTGGTTAAATCCTGTTTGAGTAGGTTTAATATATTTGCTTAGCTTTGGCACCAGCTATCTAAGGCAATAAGTGTTATGAGCTACTAAAGTTGTTTAAATCACAAATCCTCGTAAACCAAAGACAGGATACTTTATTTACTCAAAAGATAACCATTGAATTGAAAAGATAATAACTGAACAGACGATAATAAACCTCATTATTAATTTTACATTTTAAAACAGACTATATTATAAGTTTAAATCAACACAATTAGTGCAAATATATTTTTATCTTCTCCCAAACGTGCACCTCAATTGAATGAAAAATCACAAAGAAATAATCCACTTTTCCTAGAAAAGATATTCAATTTCCGTTGATAAAATGTGATGCCTTTCATTTCGAAGAATTCTTTTGTAAAGTAAACTGTTTTTAAAATCGTAAGTACATGCAGTCTGCTAAAATCTTTTTCTTTTCTCCGTTGATAACGAGTAATAAATTAATCCATGAGTGAATCAGGAATGATAATTGAATTTTAAAAATAAACATTTGTTTCGAAACTTTGGAGAGTGTAGAAAAAGTTTGAAAATTCTTGAATATATTCGAACCTTATCTTGTTAAATTTTTTAAACTTTGATTTCTTTGTTGTCAATTTGTGAGAGGAGCAAAAATTCAAGAAAACTTATTACCTTAACATTATTAACCTTATTACAATACCAACAGATCAAAAACCAATTCTAGATTATTTAAACAAAAAATCAAAGTTTTTAAAATTTACAACTTTCAATCAACTTAATTTAGTAATTACAATTGAAAACATTCACGGTTGTGATATTCTGAAATAGCTTTACACATTGTTTCAAACCAAAAATATCAAAATTGCCACAAAATTCAAATCAGTTGACGAACAGTCATTAAACAAGAAAGATGAAATCAAAAACTCTTTTGACAATCAGTGCAGTTTCAATTTACGTGATAACAATTGGATTAATTGCAAAAAGCATAAAAGAAGATTTTGATGGATATAACAACAGACAAACCTATGGATACTTCCGTTTCTGCTCAGATGATACAGAAAAATATTCTGATGATTATTTATTGAATGAATTTAATAAAAGTAAATCTGCAAATGGATTAAAATATAATAACATTATAATATATCGAGGATATCCATTGTGTGGTGCGATGGAGTTTATACATCCTAACGACAATATTACTTCAGAAAATCGACCTTATGAGTTTTATCGTGTAAGTTCGTTATTTATAAAGTTAAACTAAGCAATCGTTTTGTTGATAATTTAATGAAAGCTACTTTATCTTCGAGTTTAAAAGACAGTATTTTTAAAATTTTAAAACTATCATATAGGGATCCATCTATATCAAACACGAACAGTTTAACTTTCGAAGGTATTGTTTGGAAAAGTCTGAGTATGAAATTGATGGCTGGAAAGTTATGATTTGCAATCAAGATGAGAAAATTCATAAAGTCTTCCACTTTTTCGGTAAGTTTCTCACAGACACTGAAGTCTAACAGAGTTTAAACTAATTTAATAAAAAATTATCTTCGTTTTGAATTTTTATTACAGCAATTTCAATCTCAATAGTAATATTTGGACTAACGTTAGCCGCACACATTTACTTCAAAGAGTTGCGAGATTTTCATGGAAAATGTGCAATTGCACTTGTTGCAAATCAAATTCTCACATACATTTTGAGCACATGTATTGATTTATACGATTTTTTTTATGATGATGACGAAGGTGAAATTCTTTACAGAATATTACAAATTTCAGTAATGCACACTTTGATATGGATTACTGTCATGATGGTCCACTCGTTGCTTATATTTATGTGAGTTTTTAATTGAGTTTTCTTCATCAAATTTAAAATTTATTTCTCTAAATTCCAGAAATTATAAGAATCGAACAACAGCACCTTTAAGTTTTTCAACTTATGCTGTCTTGGTGGTTGCTTTTATTGGACTTTCAGCAATTATCTTATTGACACCAGTTTTTCGTAAGTAACAAATTTAATTTGAGGGTCTGAGCAACTTTATCAAACTGCCTAGGTCTGGAATTGATTTTTATTATCTTTTCTCCAATCCCCCCCTAATCCCTATTGTCACAAAATTTAATATAAAGTCTCCTCTAATGAATTCTTTAATACAATCAATATATTTCCAGGATTTGGATACATAACTTTATACACAGCATGCTTAATCATCAGCATTCTCAACATTGTCTTTGTCCTTATAACAGCGTTCATTGTCTTTGCTTTATCTCGACATCCAACCTACTCCATCCAAGCTAGATATCATTATGAAAGAAAATTGTTCTGCACAACAGTGAAACTTGCTTTAATTTTTTTGGTGACATGGATTATAAAGTTTATCACGAATCATTCTCCATTCAATTTAATGATGTTCATTACTGTGGATTCTATGATGCTTATAACAGCAATTACAATTTGTATAATTTTGTTAGGTAGGAAAAATGTCAAAACTTTGATATTTGAGAAATATCGAGGAATTAAAAATGTAGAAGAGAAATGATTTGATGATTAATAAAGGATGAAATTCTGATTTGTAAATTATATAGATTAAGGAGTCAAATTTATTTAAAATTTTTAAGTTTTACGTAAGAGAATATGAAATAAAAATGAGAGTTTTTGAGCCTAGAAAATATTAATCTCATTAAGTGATTAGTATTTGGAAAGGAAGGATGAATAAAAATGTTATTGTTTCGGTTGTTGTAATCATTATTTATGCAGTCTTACTAGGCACATTCCTAAAATTATATAATGACATAAATGATCATTGCACTGAAAGTTCTCCATGCATATGATTTTGTTCAACAAGTTCTGAGGAATTTTCAGATTCAATTTTATTGAATAAGTTTTTGATAATTGCATCTGCTGTAAAATTTGGCACTAATCCATTCATAAGCAACACTAAAGTTTATCGAGGATCACCAACTTGTGGTGGAATGAGTTTTTCAGATCAAGATTATTTTGGAAATTCATCAATTGTTCAATTCAACTTTGATCAGGTTGGATTACTCAAAATTGATTTAAGCTTTATTTAAATTTTTAATTTAAACTCAATCATAATTAGACTGGAGATGTGTATATTAATAAACAAGATTACGGATACGATAGATATTGTTTAGAAAAATCAGAACTTGTAGTCGATTTATGGAAATTAATGTTTTGTGATTAAGATATTCCTTATTTTCTGGTATTCAACATTATAGGTAAGTAAAAATTCATGAAATTTTGAAAAAATTTGGAAGAAAAAAAGTTAAAATTTTATTGTTTAAGAATTATCGTGAGATTAATAATTAGGATTTAAATTAATAAATAAATGTAAATTGCTTTTATAATTTTTTTGTAATGAATCGAGCTGTTAAAGAGAATAAATTGCTCAGACAGCATGAGCTTTGGCTTAACGGAACCTTTTCCCACTCTAGTGACAAAATAAATAATAATTAGGTTGTTTAACTGCACACCTTTGAGCAGGACACTTGCTTTTTTGAACAAAGTCCTGCCTAAAATCCTTAATGTCCCGCTTTTTGAACATATTTTTCTTGGAAAATTCTTAAAAATTTGGTCTGTCCCGCTTTATCAGAGCTAAAGTTGAGACATGACCCGCTTTTTCAAAAAAACCCGGCAAAACCCGATGAACAGCTTAATACCTATGATATGCCAAGAGATGATGTCAACGTTGATTCGAAATAAGTTTAAACTTATTTCGAATTTTTTTCGAACAAAAATTCGCAATTTTGAACCCCATATTTTTTATGAAAATTTTAATTTTCCGCAATTTTTGACTTAATTTACCTATTATTTGGGAATTAAATCCTTCTATTATGTCTTTTAACTTTCATTTAATCGTTTAATCGACGATAAATGCAGCAAACTTTAGTTTAAAATGATTTTTTTTCAAAAATATTCTAAATTTTTTGTTGTTGTTTACATTGAAAATTAAAATGTCATTAATTCAGTTGCATTAATTGTTTAGTAAATCAGTAATGATTCATTACAGCTGAGTGGATTCATTCAGCATTTTGATTATAAAAAACAAATATTTAAACTATTAATTAAAGATATTAGACATTACTAATTTAACGTGTAAAAAAAATTTGAACTTATGCTCGAAAATAAGGGACCAAAATAAATTCAATATCGAAAATAAGGACTCGTTGGCGTACCATAGCTTAATACTAATATTATACCTCACCAAACAGTTCCAGGTTTAATCATTTGATAATGAATCATATTAACAATTAATCATAGGATCAGAAGGATTGATCTTAAATCGAAAATCCCGCAATATTTTGAAAAAACATTCAATGTTCGCTCGTAAATAATTTTCTTTCCAAGTCTTCTTTAAACTTTAAATTCGCGAGAAATTTTCTTTCACAAAATTATTTCAGTTCATTCGCGTTCATTAATGAAATAAGATGAACAAAAAAATTTTTGTGTCTGTTTGTATAATCACAGCTTACGCAATTCTTCTCGGACTCTTCATAAAATTTCGGCAAGATAGTACTGAATGTTTTGGAAAAAATTTTACATGCATTCGTTTTTGCTCAAATGATCTCGAAAATTATTCAGATGAATTTTTGCTTAAAGAGTTTAAAAAAAGCAAAATTGCAAAGTATTTAGAAAAAGATTTTAATGTCTACCGAGGGATTCCAACATGCGGAGGGAATGCTTTTCAACCTCCAAAATATAATAAAACGTCAAAGCGTGCGCCTTACTATATTGACAGTGTGAGTTTTTGCAAAAGTTTTTAAGATAATTTGAATTCAAAACTTTAAATCTTAGAAAGGATTTGCAGAAGTTGATTTGGAATCGTATAATCAACTAAGGTATTGTCTGGAAAAAGCAAATGATGTCTACGATGGCTGGAAGTTGTTTATTTGTAACCAAGATCTAAATTTTCAAAGAATATTTCATGTGATAAGTAAGAATAATATTTAAAAGTGTAATTGTTGAACTACTTAAAAATTTAATTTTAAATTTTTACAGTAATTATTCTCGCTATCATATTGTATGGATTTATTTTAATTGTGTACTCGTACAACAAAGATTTAAGAGATTTTCATGGAAAATGGACAATCGTTTTAGTCGCAATTCAAGTTTTTTCACATACTTTTTTTCCATTTGTGATTTTTGATGAATCGCCAAATTATTTAATCTTTTTAAACAGCCGACTTAAGAACGGAATTTACAATTTACTTATCCTAAGTTTGATGCTGATTATATTGTGGATTAATGTCATGATTTTTCATGTATTTTTCACATTCAAGTAAATTTTTCAAAAATTTAATTCAACATTTTTAATAATTTTACAACTTTTTATTTAGAAACTTCAAGGATCGGAAAAAAATTCCTTATAGATTTTCAAACTATGCTTGTTTTGTGATTGTTTTTATTGCAGTTTCTGGGATTTTGCTGTTTACATCAAATGATTGTAAGAATAAACTTTACAAAATATGAATTATTTTACTTTTATTAACAAAAATTATTTTAGTTGACTTATTTTTAATGTATACATTCGTCGTAACTCTTGGCGTTGTCGTTTGGGTCACAACTGGACTTTATATTTACAAACTATCCAGAAATGAAACTCATTCAGAACATCCAAAATTCCATTTTGAACGAAAGTGGTTTTGGATTTGTTTTAAAGTGGCAATTACAATCTGGACAACTTATTTTGTGAATTTTCTCAAAAAACAAAAGAATTTTAATGTATTCTTATATATGACAATCGACATTATCATCTTATTTGGTGCAATAACTGTCACAATCATTATGATAGGGAGAACAAAAGTGAGGAATATTATTCTTGGAGATTATCATACGAATGATCAAAATTTTGAAAATGAATGTCATAAAGAAGATTTAAAGATTCAGTTAAATTGAGAATAAATAAAAAATAATAAAAAATGATTTTATGTAAACTAATTTGCTATTCTTAAAATTATTATTAATTGAATTGTTGATCATATTTATTATAATTCTTCAAATCATTTTGTAGATTGTCCAACTTTACATTATAAGACGATTGAAATCGATACAAGTTTAGTTTAGTTTTGTTCAAGACATTTCCGCTTTATGGTTAAAACTTAATAAGCAGCTTAAATTTTCAATATTTCAACTCTAAATTTGCACTTTTTTGAAACAATTAATATAAATATCCGCCACATGATGTAATATTTATCAATTCGGGGAATTCTTTGAACAAATAAACTGTCTAAAAATAATCCAAACGAGTTTGCGAAATATTTTTTCTCATTTACGCAGATAAAAGTATTGAAAATATTTATAAATGCAACAAGTACAAATGCAAATCACAAGAATGTAGTGAAGTAGAAGCGACATAGACTGTGCCATGTAGGAAAATCTCAGAGAAAAGTTTGATTTTGTCAAGTGTTTAAGCCACTTTGTTTAATAAATCACTTTTTTATTGATAATGATGCAAACACTAGTGACAATATTTCATGAATCTTTATTAATACTTAAAGGTATCTTTAAATGCTTTCTCCGATGCTTGTGATATTTTTCAAAAAAAAAATCCATTTAAAATCTAAACTAGAGAAAAGAAAATGCTCAGTTACTGAAAATTCATTGAGCAATGAAGATAAGTAAAAAATTATTCGTGACTATTTTCATAGTATTGTCTTATGTGATAATATTTGGAATAATTGCAAAATTAACAAACGATGATCTTGAGTGTTTTGAACATAATTCTGCATGCTTTCGGTTTTGCTCAGATAATTCTGTAGATTATTCTGACGAATATTTGTTAACTGAATTTAATAAAAGTAAATCTGCGAATGGATTAAAATTCGATAATTTAAAAGTTTATCGTGGGAGTCCAACTTTATGCGGTGAAATGGAATTTTTGCGTCCTAATGACAATATTACTTCAGAAAATAAACCTTATAGTATTTATCGTGTAAGTTTATTACTCCATAGTCAAAATTAGCAATTGCTTTTCTTTAATATTCTTAATCAATGGCTTGAATTATTTCAATTTTTATACTTGTAAAACCATTGCATAGGGATCCATCTACATTAAAAATGAATTATACGACTTTCGAAGGTATTGTTTGGAAAAATCTGATTATGCAATTGATGGCTGGAAGTTAATGATTTGCGCTCAATCTGATCAAATTCATAGAATAATTCACTTTATCAGTAAGTATTAAAATTAATAATATAAAAGCCTTCATTTGTCTTTCTGTCATTCCGCTCTAAGCCATGACAGATACAAAATTTTCAAAATGGCGGAATTCAAAATGGCGATTTGTTTGTTTATTGTAATCTCCATTTAAACCCTAATAATCCAAAAAGAAAACTTTATTTCACGGTTATTTTAAATGCTGCCAGTAATTTATTACAGGATATCATCCTAGTTCTTAAAAGTCAAAGGTATGGAACTGATATGATCATTTTTGATAGTTTTGATCAGTTCCAAACCCTTGAATAAAGTAACAGTTTTCTGTTCACAAATTATTTTCTTAATTTTCTTTTTAGCCACTTCTATTTCTGTATTATTAATTACACTTACGCTATTCGTGTACATTTATTTTAATGAATTGAGAGATTTTCATGGAAAATGTGCAATTCCACTTGTTGGAAATCAAATTGTTACATACATTTTGAGTACAGCTGTAGATTTGTACAGTTTTTATTATGATGATGACGATGATGAAATTCTTTATTCAATATTGAAGCTTTCACTGATACACACTTTACTGTGGATTACTGTCATGCTCGTTCACTCGCTACTCACATTTTTGTAAGTACTTAAAAAAGTATTGAAGAGTTCAAAATTATTTCTGTGATTTTTAGAAACTATAAGAATCGAACAAAAGCATCTATTGTTTGTTCAACTTATGCTGTTTATGTCATTGCCTGTATGATCATATCAGCTATTGTACTGCTTCCACCTTTTTTTAGTAAGTCCAAAAATATATTATTTTATAAAATTTTAATCATTGTTAATTTTAGAACATAAATACAGAACTTTATACACAATATGCTTCATTATCAGTTGTCTTGATGTGATCTTTGTTATCATAACAGGATTCAATGTGTTTGTCCTTTCACGGCAACAAGATCAATCTACTCAAGCTATATTTAAATACGAAAGGAAATGGTTTTGGACTTCAGTTCAACTTGATTTAATTTTTGTTTTGACATGGATGATAAAATTTTATTTCCAATTTATTAAATATAAATTTCTAGTTTTTATTTCTATAGATTTTTTAATGTTATTATCTGCAATAACAGTTACTATAATTTTCTTAGGAAGGAACAAAGTTAAAATTTTGATATTTGCAAAATTTAATGATTCAAAAAATAAGAACTTTAATATCTAGGCAATAGTTTAAAGATAATTTATATTCCTTAACTACTCAATTCATACTTTATATCAATTCTAATGCAATGACAATGATTATGTTGTGACTTATCAAAACTTATTATTTCTGCAGAATCAACCTAAGAACAAAATCTGAATAAAAAATGATTTTGATATTAATTCTGATTGTTAATCATTCCCTTTTTGTCAAATTCAAATCAAATTGATGTGTGGAGATTTTTAGAATTCGGAAAAAAACATTGCTTTCAGCATAAACCGAATAAATTCCAAATTGTATCTAAATTCAAACAATGTCGTCGCAAATATCATTAAGGAAATTGTTATTGTAAATAGATACATCTTATTTTAAAACAATATTCTAGATAAGCCAAACATGATGTTTCCACTTCAAGTGATCTTTTGTGATTCCGACACATGTTTCGTGTTCAAGAATATCATCAACTTTTCATTTCTCCTTTTTTTTAAATGCACAAAAATTGTTGACTTTTTTCCCTTTTCCGTTATTCAATACTTACTATTTATTGGACGACATAATCAAATATTTACATAGGAGTAGAGACATCGTAAGTGCCTGAAAATGCACATTTTCTTTTGCTCCATACTGAATGGAATGGCACAAGCTTATGAAATAACATATAACAAAAACATATTCACAACTTGATTTCTTGTAATATTTTTTAAATATTTTCATTTTTATGATGACCAATATTCGAAGTGACCTTCTGAGAAATTTTCGATTTTAAGAAACTTACTTAAAAATCTTTCTAGTTTTTTTTAAAAAGAAATGCATAAGAAATTGAAATAACAAAAGGGTTGCAAAATTAGAAGAAAGAGTATTAGAAAAATGCATAAAGACGAAATTTGCATTTTCATGCTTCTTATTTCTCTCGGACATTTCTCAATTTTGTGTCTATGGACAAACATGACAAATGACATCAACATAATGCAATGCGTATGCATTCATGAATAATGCAATTTTTATGAAAATTATTTTCTAATTGATTATCATCGGTCAAAGTTTTATTTTAGTGCCGTTAGAATTGATTTTTGAGGCAATTAAGCTATAGAAAGTGAAATGTTGTAACTGTTTATTGGTAATGTTGGATTACGACATATCGACAACTTGTTACAATATTTCGCAACTTGAATGACTTGTTTGTCATTACGAGTTTTATGTTGGATTATTACTCATCAAATTATAGTATTGTTGCTTTATCTTTTGTATCGAATCTAGTTGCAATGATTGCCTAATTGGTTATTTTACTAGTCGTTTAGATCAAATGAAATCAATGGCTGTTTTAAATTATCAACTTAATTTATATCTATAGCTCGCTTCTGGGTTCTGTCTGCTAATCATTAATATCATCAGAATACAATCATTATTTACAGCCTTGTTTCATGAGTTTTACAGTTTTAAACAAGTTTTAAATCTACAAACTTAAACTAAACCTTTACATTTAGATCTGTTTTATACTTTATTAAGTCAAATCCTTTTGAATTGTGGTTTTTGACAAGAATCAGAAATCTGAAACTGAATGATCAATTCTTAAGTATCGAATAGCTATTACTACATTCAAAGCAATAACTTAAAACTTACAAATTACAATAAGAATCAGTGAGCATTAATTTATTGTATTAAATCCCTAGCAGAAATTTACTAGTAATTTCCTAGTAATTCACTTGATAACTTTCCATTTGCTACTTGCTATTTACTAGTCAAAATCCAAGTTCAAATCATCGCCAAAGACCCGCATTTTCACTTGCTCATTGACTAGTCAATTCGCTTACAATTTAACTAGTAATTTACTAGCAAATTTGTAAAAAATTTAAATGAATATAACCGTTGATTTCCACGTGTTTTTTTGATTTTTCTTAATTGTGTAAATTATTGTAAAAGTATTAGTGTGTACTTATTTAAAGTTAATTAAAGTACACTAACACTATGAATGAAAAGACTTAATTTAATTAAGTCGAATAGTGATGAACGCCCATGACTCGCACGCAAACCTGAGGAAGATAAATAATTAATTGAAGGCACATACAAATTTGGATCGACCTTATAAAGGTGATTTCTGCGCGCTCTTGTGAAGTATATGGCAAATGCCAAATTTAGAACAAAATTTTTTATGACGCAAAAAATTCTTTTTTTGATGATTTTTCGTAAGATTCGAACTTAAGCAGATTTGATCAAACATTTTACATGGTAATTTGCTAGTAATTTGCTAGTAAATAGCAAGTGTAATTTATTAACAGTAAGTTGTTTTGATAATAACTAGTAAATTGCAAGTTGTAGAATAGAAAGACTAGCAATTTGCTAGTTAGTCTCGCTAGGGAATGAATATTCAAAAGGCGAAATCGAGTGAGTTTTTTTTTTGATTTTAATAAAAACAACTTTGACCGAATGATTCTTCAAACCTTATTTAGTTTTGCTTTCTGGTTCAAAGCTCGAAGATCGAAACACAAAAGAGATCAATGATTAAACTACTGAGAACTTGAATCAATCAAGACACTTGAATCTTATTCATAATAATGAACGTTTTCATTAGTTTCTAACTTTGAAGCAATAAAATTTTCATTTAAATCTTCATTACTGCAATAATAAAACCCAATAGAATTGGCTGGATTATTAAATACAAAATTTAAGGTTGTCAACAAATCAAGCAATCAGATTTCCTGAGAATTCAAACCATTCTTTTTTTTTTACCTTCCTCACAAAAGTGTGCCAACGCGAGTGAGCAGCAGCAAAAAAAGAAGAGAATCAAAACTTAAAATCAATTGTCAGAAACTTGCCAGCCCAAACACTTTATGTCAACTTACAGAAATCCAATATTCCTCTTATTTCATTTTCATTTTGCTCTATTATTAATACTTTTGCAATAATAGAGAAATAGAAGGGATGAATATTTTGTCAGAAGATTATGAAGAAATGTGGATTAAATGCTTTTTTTTCTTCTCACACTTCTTACAATTCTTATTGCCTTATTTCTTAGTCTCCCCTTTTGATTCATGCAAGTAAAAATTAAAGAAAGTTTTTTTCAAAGTATCATCATTCTGATGAAGTAATAACAGATAAAAATATTATGAAGCATGTGTTCTTTTTGAAGCTTATCCTTTACTATGTCAGCCATAATCCTTTTACCTAAAAAAATCTTTTTTTAAGGTCAAGAACTTAGTAGGCTGGAAAACGATCGTGCATTCAAATTTCATAATCCGATGTGATAATTTTTTTAGTTTTTTTTTTGTACTCTTTTCTTTTTTCATTGAGAAATTTTGTGAAAGAAATATTTTTTAGCCTCAAAACTTTATGCATGAGAAAGTTTTTAATTTCATTGAAATGAAGATGGGTTTGTCGATATATCTGTTAATTCATAATTTTTTCGGTCTGTTTTAAAAGTTTCTGGAGCGGCAAATTTTTTAATTTTTCTACAATTTTATGAATGGACGGAAGGATTATAACTGATAGTGAGTTGTAAATTGCTCATTTGATTGTGCCGTATGATGTTAATTTGAAGAACTTGTAAGTTCTTGTAACTCTATCATTAGGTTCGAAGATATTTAAGATGCTATGCTAGCTGTTTTGAAGCTTCAATTCTCCAAAATTAACTACTTAATAGTTCAAGATAGATTCAACGTTAAATCGCACTATTTAAAGATCAAGAGACATTATTATTATTATCAGTATCAACTGAATATTGATCATATTTGCTAAAGCTAGAATTGGGATGGTACAACCGATCATCGGCATTGTTATAAGCAAAACCCTACATTACGTTCTATTCTATTTTGATGACTGGACAATAATATGAAGAAATACTTAATCTACAATTTACAAAATCCAAGATTTGAGTCAAATCTAATGTAGCTTTAAAACTCTTTAACAAAATTTAGAATGTGCTGGGAGTCCTCGGTTTTAAAGATGTTTAATTCTAGAAAAACCCTCCTCAAATTGAAACTATAATTCCAAACAAATTGTTTACATTTTGCAGAAAAAGTTTTCTTTAAGATTTCAATTTAATTTCAATTGCTTCAATTTAAAACCGATAAAATAGAATTTACTCAAATAATAAATTTACAATAAAATTAAGCATTTCAATTTGAGTTTATTGAAGTTAAAATTCTTTGAAATCAATCCAATTGAAGATTTCAATACCGTTAAAATAGAATTACTACAAAAATGTTTATCTTACCTTAGTTTAATTTGAAGATCTTAGCTTTAATTTCTTTTTATAAATTCCAAATTATTGCCAGTTCCCTGATTAAACTTAATTTTTGCTTTCATTTTAAAACTTTCAATTTTCACTTTTCATTTCGATTTAATAAAACCAATTCATTGAAAATATTGCAAGCCTACTTCGATTAACAATATTAAATTCTCAACTCCTTTGCACAAATATTTCAGCAATGAATTTCCATTGCATGACCCTTATGGAATGAGGAAATGATGAATAATCAGACGTCATCTTCTTTTTTCAACCCTTCTCATAATCCACACATGAAAGTAGGAAAAGAATTATTTTCACCCTCGCATTTAATCCAAATAATGCTCAATGGCAGACAACAGAATAATCAAACAAATGTGGAAGGATAGTTTGTTCCATTTTATGATGATGATAAATTTAATTGCAATTCTTCCATTATTTTCCTTTATGTGGCTTCTTCCTGTGTAACTACAAAATATTGTGATATTGATTACAGATGACATGAAAATTACATGTGTCCCAAAGTAATATCTGAATCATCATCTTTAAATTGCCGAAACAAAAAAAAAAAAAGAATAGAACAAGAAGGTAAAGGACATGATTCGGTGAATTGAAGAGCAAATATACACAATTTTAAGGTAAAAATATTTTATTTTTTGTGTGACAGCAAAAAAAAATCTTAAATAAGTTGTAAATTCATAGAAATTTATGACATATTGCCAATGGTCAATTCAGTTTTCATAGAGGATTAAGTGGGTGTATTTATCAGTGATGTGAGTAATGAGGGAAAATGGTCAGTTGGTTGAAGATGAAGATTTTGAAACTATTCGGACATTGCTTTGTAGTTTAAAACAGTTTAAAACTTCAGTTTCAAGTCACTGCAATGTTAATAAAGTTGACTTGGGTTCAAAACTCAGACTTTTGAGTTGTATTTACCAAGAATTCTCCAAATCTTAAACGTTTGTATATTTAAAGCAAATGTTTCACAAATTTAGTCAATTTAATTCCAGTCTAAATTAGTTTTGAACTTGTAAGCTCTAACTTGCTCAGCTATAGATGATATTGAAGTTCCAAGTTCTCGAAATCTCAAAATTCATGATTCTAAAGCAAAAAAATAAGGTTTTAGCTCCAAAAACTCAATTGCAAACCAAAAAACAAATAAACATTCCAATGGCAAAGCCCAATAGCTTAGTGGTCTGAGCACTTGACTGGCAATCGAGAGGTACGAGGTTTTATTTCCGCTTGAATGAATTTCGTTTTTACAACATTTTTTGAAATAAACATCCCTAACTGAAGAACCTGCCCATCAATAAGACAATTTTTGTTTATCCTTTCTCTTTAAGTTTCTTTCACCCAGCAGTTCTTCTTTATTTTTCAACCCTTGTTATTTCCCTTTTTGCTTTATTAACTTTCTTCTTCATGCTCTGTTGTATCTTCTCATTTTCTAATGAGCAAAATTATTCTGGAAAATAGAAATTCTTCTTAAATTCTAGTAAATTCAACTATTGACTTTAAGAAATTTGTAGATTTTAATTTAAATTTTCCAAAAATTGAACTTGAATTTTGAATCAATTTCAAATTTTAAAGAAACAATTTCAAAATCCAAAGACCACAAGAAAAATCAATAAATTATTTCATAATTGAATTATTGAAATAATTTCACTCAATGTCACACATTTAACATTCTCCAATGCTCATTTCCGATAACTTTCTGTCACACAGTTCAAACTCGTCCATTTGTTATTCTCTCCATTTACTGCAATTCATTCTGCTCTCTGATTGGTTGGAAGTTTTCTTCGTTTCTCAATCCTCTCTTCATACTGGCCGAAAGTGCATATAAAGAACGATGGACTAAACTGTTTTTGGTCATTTCATAAAAAGTTGTAAAAGAGTTAAGTGAACAAGAAATTTTTGGACACAAAAATAAAAAGAGTGAAAAAAACCTAATTATTGAAAAAAAATATAATTTGGATTACTTATTAAAAACATAAATTGCATCAGAAAAATACAAGAATAAATTTCAAAAGTGATCGAAAATGATGACACAATTCATGATGGATTTAAAAAATGGTAAGTTGAATTTTAATGAATTTTTCAAAAATTTAAAGAATTTAAAAATTGATTTTGTAAAGAAAATTGAAATAATTTTCTTTAAAAATCAAAAAAAGTAAATGAAAAATTTTAAAAAAGTAAAAATAAATCACAAATTTTAATAAAAATTAATTTCCTTCCAAACAGAACCAATCCAAAGCCTCTTGCGAAACATGAAGTCAACCTACGAATATTCCTTCCACCAACATCAACTTCTCTCAGCTGCAGCCATGGTTCGTCAAGTTCCAGAAGAAAGCGCATTAGACTTAACCAGCAAAAGACGTGATTCAGTTGAATCAGAAACTAGAAAAACGACATCGCCCTCAAGTTTTGAAGAATCACCAAATCACTATCAACCGTCTCAATATCTACTCCACAATCATTTGGTTAAATTAACACCAGAACATACTGCACAATATCCACAACATCACTACACATATGAGCATTCATCACCTTCGACGACCACAGTACTTAAAAATTCACCGCTTCAACTCTTTGAGAAATTCGATGGAATGCCAATAATTAGAAAATTAGAAAATATTTCACCGCCAATCAATGACAATCATAATCACAACCATTTTGTCACAAGATCACCAAATCAAATGTACGAAAGATATGAAAATACAGAAAAGCCATGCTCACCTCCACATGATCATGAAGACAGCAGTGATGTCCCAAATGGAACAATCTCAAATATTTCATCGTCAAGTTCTGTCGCATCTTCACAAAAATCACCAACATCTTCATCGAACTCATCAATGATGGTTGTTGGACGTGATGGAAAGTTATCAAGGCCATTTAAAGCTTATCCAAAAGATCCACTTAGTCTTGCTGCTGCTGGTTCAATTCTTGATCAAGCTTCTGCTGAAAAATATGCAGTCTTCAGGAAGAGAATGCTTGAGCAGATTCATGCTGCGAATGGTGGAAATCCAGTTATTAATAATCCAAAAATGAGAAGAATTTCGACAAAAGGAAGCAGTCCTGAAGCTAATAACAATGAGCCTGCATTCACAGCCACAGAAAAGATTCAAGAAAGTTTAAATATTTCTAAATCAAGCAATGGATATGAGAGAGATGACGCATATTTTGAACGACGCAAGAAAAATAATGCAGCAGCTAAGAAGTCACGCGATAGACGAAGAATTAAGGAAGATGAAATTGCAATTCGTGCAGCATTCCTTGAACGTGAAAATATTGAATTAAAGTTTGAACTTGCAGCAGCTAGAAAACAATTAGCAATTTATGGTGTGCAAGCTGGAATCGCTACTTCATAAGACATTTTATTGATTTAGAATATTTAATTTTTTAATAATTTTCAAATTTTTGAGAATTCAGGGAATGTTTATAGTAAGACTGATTGCGTGATAAGCTTTAATCAAATTTTTTTGTAAGATTGATTAAAAATTTGTAAATTTTAATGAGGATTGAGGAAGAAAATATTGTACAAAGAGTTTATAAGATAGGATTAAGCATGATAATTAATAAAACATTTATAATATTTTTAAAACTATATTTTTTTGCATTTTAGTTTAAAATATTTCATTTCAGAATTTTTTTTGAAGATTTTAGATTCTTATAATCATTTAATAAGAGCAAGGTAGCTACAATGTAATGAAAATTGTTGAATAAAATTTAAAATTCGAAGTGTTTGCAATTTAAATAATAATTTTTTTAAAAGAAACAGTTTGAATCAAATTTATTAAACATAAACATTTTGTAGAAATTATTTGATATTTATAAATATTAAATATCTATTTTACATTGATTTAATAGCTTATTATTTTGCATTATCTGTAAAAAAAAACCTTTGAATTGAATTAAAATCTTCACTTTAATTCCAATCAACTCATTCAAATCTCTGCAACTGTAAACCTTTACACTACAAAAACTTAATCTGCAACTTGAGCATAATTCAAAGTTCCGCTAATCTCAAAAAGGTGTTAACATCAAAAAAAACATCCTCAATCTTTTAAATATGTCAAAAAAGAACCTTCGTTAAAATATTATAAATTTTTCATCAATATGAATAATATAAAAATTTTACAGTTGATCACAAAACATACCGTAATTCAGGAAATGTGTGCATCTTTTTTGTCAATTCACACATTTATGATGATATGCTAGTGAATGTGAAAATCAAGAAGAAAGGCCCTTAAATTATCCACAAAATCCATCTATAATGCGGACATAAAAGAAAGTAGGAAAAGGATTTGCAAATATTTTTCTTTATTTCACCTGCTCATTTCGGTTTTTTGATATTTTTTTTCTCAGTCTCTTCTGTTCCTTTTATTCCGTGTGACATGAGAGAATTTTTTTTTTCTACTCAATTTTAAAAGGATGAAGATGTGTTTCTTGGGTACGAAATAAATAAATGTGGGAATCATGCTTGTCAACGTGTCATATAAAAATCGCAATACCGTTAATCGACCTTTTACACATCTTTCGATTATGATTGATTGACTGAGAAGTCAATAATTGGATTATTATTCCATGATTTAATGGCCTTTTGTGTAAATATTGAAGAAAAGGAGAAGATGAAGATGATTTTGGGAGGATATACTGAAGATGTAGGCTTTATATTGAAGCTGAAAAGGCTGAATGGGTGGTTATTTGCTGATTGATCGCTCTACGGACAGACTAGTTGGTTCGCTGGACTATTGGATTGACTTATTAATTTTCTAGATCACTGTATACTGAATAGCTTGCTGTTTTTATTTTTAGACGACTAGCTACTAAGTTTACTGACTTGCTACTAAGTTTATATACTGGCTACTAGATTTACTGACTAGCTACTAGGTTTGCAGACTAGCTACTAGGTTTGTTGAATTGCTAGTCGTGGTTTCTAAAGTTTTGAAGAAAATACTTTCTGGCTGGCTAGGTTAGCATCGTAATTCTAGCTTTTATTAGATTCAATCTGTAGTTTTTTACTCAAAAGTTTTATTAAATTTTACTTAAAATTAAATTAGAATTGCAGTAAATACAATTGCATTATGATGATCCCTGCTAAGCATATTGCGCTTAAATAACTCAATCAGCAGCACCAAAAAATTCTTCAATTTCTTTACTACCACAAAAGGCGATAATAAAGAGTCTCAGAGTATATGACAAGATCCTTCCAAGAAGCTAAAAACTCATTTAATTACTATATTGCTCATTTAAGAATTAAGAAAATTAGTTAAGTAAAGAGTTATACCTGAAGATGAGATGATTTACATAAAATTGCTAATCCTTAGCAATGGTCAACTTTTTGCTTCATTTTCTTTATTTGCATACTTACATGAATCTCAGGTAATTCGGTTGAAGCGTAAAATTTTTGTTTTTCTATTTTACTCTTTGTTATATAATTTCAATAAAACAATAAAATAAACAACTTTTCTTGTCAGTGACTTTTTATTTTATTTTTTGCAATATAATAATTTAAAGGATTAAGAAAAATAAAAGGGAAATTGACCATTGGATATTTAACTTATTTTATTACTTTATATTGAGGTAATCGCTCAAGGACCCCGAGAATGACAACAAACAACAGCAAGAAAAAAGACAAGAAAGTTAATATTATTACGACTTTGAATGCATCCATAAATTACTTTTTTGAACTATTTTTTCCCCATTTTTATGCTTGCATGTTGTAAAATATTGCAGTTTTTGGAAGTCCAACACAAGTCAACTGAATAAATTAGAATAAGGAATTTCTCGTAATTTATGGGGTAATAATTTGAGACATAGACTTGATTCAACTCGTTTTCAAGCTGTAAACTTAAGATTTTTGACATCATCGTTGCTGGATTGCTTTGAAATTGCATATCAATAATAATTTCCAAAGCCCTCAAGAAACAAAAATTTCTGCCTGAACTTAATCTAAGAATATTTATATAGAGCACATTAAGACCTGGTTATTGTTGATTTTTCTTAATCGACAACATAAATTTTACCTAAACAAGTGTGACTTAAGAAGTACATCAAGGATGGCAAGAAGTATGTGAAAAACAAAAACATGAAATTAAGAACAACTATTTTTTACTGGAAAATCACGTGTTGTGTTAATTAAAAGTAGGACAAGAAGTTTGGCGATTAGTTCTCATATAATTCATTTAACTTTTTATTGCCTTAATCATTGTTGATTGATATCTCGGAATCTTTTTTGGATCTTGATTCTTAACCTTAAAAAAGCAAAAATGTTTGGGACTGTTTAATTATATCGTCCAAAATTAACGGTCATTTTTCAAAAAAGAACAATGGATTTCCAGGAATTTCTATTGTTCTTTTCTTGCTGCCCCCCCCCCCCCCCCCTCCCCCTGGAAGTCATAAGCTGAATGGCTCCTTTGGCAAATTTCAACAAAATCAATTTTATTGGGTAATTATTGATGTAAAAACAGCATAAAATGCTGTAATTGACAGCAATTTGCCATCTTATTACAAATTATTTCATTGCCATCAAAATTGACTTTTTATCCTCAAGAACTAACTGAGAACAACCTAAAATCATATTTAAAAATTCACAGACATTAAAATCCAAAAGAAAAGATTTCAATGCATGTCCCATTCTCATTCATATCCCACATCAAACTGAAAAATTTGCTTCTCACGATCTGAAAATAATGAAAAATTTCGCTTTAAAACTTTCATTATTCATTATTATTACAAACCACTGACCACTGACAATGCAAAAACACAACATGTACGCAAACCCTCCATTTTCTATATTTTCTGAATTAAACTAAAACGCATCAACTGATATTGATTTTGTAAATATAGGAAGAGAAATAACATTATACATCTTGTTGGGGTTTGATGCTGCTGATGTGATGTACTATTGAGGATAAATAAAAATTTGCAATATCTTTCAATCACCCACAATAACAATTGACAATGCCGTTACACATATTTCATACAATAGACGTATCACCTTTTATTCAATGCTGACGAGAAATGCCCATAATAATAGCATGTGTGTAGAAATTGACATTGTCTCGTGATGGGAAATTTTACCCTTTTTTTCAATATAAAAATCATCACATTTTATCCCTTAAAAATGCGGAAGGATTCATTTATTTGTTCTTCTCTTTTCTGTTCCTCTTCATTTGGTTCTCATTTTGCAAATATCATGGCATTCATTGAATTCTGTTTTGTCTTTTCTTCTTCCTCTTCCATATTTTTTTTTTGACATTTATGAATGCTTCATTTCAGTAAGTTGGTTCAGGGATGACCAAAATCTTGAATATGCGTTGTTTTTGATGTTACTCAATTATAGGAACTATTAACTCTAATCTATCGATTTTTAGCTAGTTTCTATAATCTACTAAGATGAATGGAAACTCTTTGAAGCAAAAATCCAATCTAGGAACTGAAAAATTTGATTTTGATCAATTTTGATCATTTTTAACGCATTTTTGAAAACTTATTTTCGAAAAGAAAGCTTAATAATGCACTTTGTTCGTTCGTTCGTTTGCTCGGCTGGGTAAGCATAAAAACTTTTTAACCAGACATCGTAGATAGCCCAGGTTTGTTTTATTAGCTTCGTTACTATTGTTTATTGTCCGATCGAACTGTTAAAAGTCTTAAAACAGTGTATTTATGCTATAATTAATGAATTTTTGTTTTGTTTTCAGTGTAACCTGCTTAAATTTTATTTTACCTTTATAAATTCAACTTTACCTCTATAATTTCAAATTTTTTCTAGCAGTTGGAAAATTTCAAATTTTAAAAAACCGTTAAATGATAAACTTTTTCTATATGGAAATTCTTTGCAGCAAATTATTAATTATACAAAATCAAATACTGATCGCTTCGTCAAAAATGCGCTGAAGTCCTTCGATCAATAACACGAGGACTTTTGTAATTTTTTATCATTTTTCTTCATAATTAAACAGTTTTTTGATCAGTTTTGCAATGATAAAGACCAAGTTTTTTGTGATAGAAAATGTACATCATGTGTTATCCATTCAAAAGATTGTATCTTATCTGAGATCTCATGGAAATTTAAATTTTATTTTCTTCATTCATAATTTACTATCGATGGGATAATCTTGAATGTGAATCCAGCAAAGAAGGAATTAGAAGTACGACGTGCAGTTCTTAATGACTCGTCGATTGATCTCCCGTCTAGCATATTCAAGATGAGTTCATCGCTACAATATAATAAGTTCTTCCCGTCAGAGCGAATTATGAAGATCCTAGTTGAATGTGACACAAATGGTGTACTGGACTTGGTTGATGGGATTTTACTCAATTACAAGTTAGCAACGAAAATGTTGGATGACGAAACTTATATATCCACATACAACCAAAATGGGATAAGTAACTTACAATCGATGCTTGAAAGCACAGGCAATAGACACTTAAGATTGAAGGATGGTGGATTGTTTTTATTTGACAAATCAATCTGGTGTAGGCAGTCAACAATAGCACAGGCAGATGAAAGATATCTAAACGTAATCAGTCGTAATTTTTACCAAAATAATATCATTTCGAATGGAAGAGATATAAAAAACATTAGGAATGCTTT